AACCGCTTCCAGTGCCTAGAAGATTGCAATGCAGTGGACGATATGAATGACAAGCTCGTGGACACTGTCCATGCGGTCGGAGCTAAGTTCTGCAAGACCCGCCGCAGCACTCAAAAACTCTCCGATCACAACACTCTTAATCTCATGGCTGTAAGACGGGAGATGAGGCTGCAATCGTCAACAGATTTGACAGCATACAGGCAACTGACAGACAGATCTCCAAATGCATGTGGCGAGACTTGCGCAACTTCAATACTGCTCGTATTGAAGAAGCGATCGAGCGGAACCAGGGCTCCATAGTCTTTGCCAGAGATCTGTCTGCCAGTAAGAGCCAACTGTCAAAGCTGAAGACTGAGTGTGGCAGCGTCGTTTCCAGGACACCTGAGATTTTGAGTGAGATTGAGAGGTTCTATGGGCAGCTGTACACATCATCGTTGGGGCCACATGCAAGTGTGAGTAACGATCCAAGAGCAAGTCTTACCCGACACTATTCCGATGATATCCCGGACGTCAGTCTGAGCGAGATTAGAATGGCTCTCCAGCACCTTAAAAATGGCAGAGCCCCAGGTGAGGATGGAATTACAGCGGAGCTTCTGAAAGCGGGTGGAATACCGGTACTTAAAGTTCTTCAGAAGCTCTTCAATTCCGTCCTCCATGGTGGAACTACTTCGGAGGCGTGGAGCAGATGTGCGGTGGTCTTGTTCTTTAAGAAAGGCGACAACGCTCTCTTGAAGAACTACAGACCGATTTCCCTTCTGAACCGCGTATACGTGCTGTTTTCGAGAGTCATTACGAATCGTCTCGCACGCAGCCTCGACGACTTCCAGCCTCCCAAACAAGCCGGTTTCCGAAAAGGCTTCAGTACCATAGACCACATACATACCCTGCGGCAGATTGTACGGAAGACCGAAGGTACAATTTGCCACTTTGCCTGGCGTATGTGGACTATGAGAAAGCCTTTGATTCCATCGAAATTTGGGCGGTGCTACAGTCCCTTCAGCGGTGCCAAGTTGACTGTCGGTATATCGAAGTGCTGAAGTGTTTGTACAGTAGGGCTACGATGGCTATCCAAGTACAGAACCAGAGTTCGAAACCTAACCAACTGCAGAGAGGTGTAAGACAGGGTGACGTTATATCCCCGAAACTCTTCACCGCTGCGTTGGAAGACGTTTTCAAGCTACTGGACTGGAAAGGATACGGTATTAACATCAATGGCGAGTACATCACTCACGTTCAATTTGCCGACGATTTAGTCCTTATGGCAGAATCGCTGGAGGACCTTAGCACTATGCTCAATGACCTCAATGGTGTCTCCCAACGGATAGATCTTAAGATGAACATGAACAAAACAAAGATCATGTTTAATGTCCATGTCACACCTATGCCGGTAGTTGTTGGGAGCACTATGCTCGAAGTTGTTGACGAGTACGTTTACCTGGGACAAATAGTCCGACTAGGTAAGTCCAACTTCGACCGAGAGGTCAATCGACGGATTCAACTCGGCTGGGCAGCTTTCGGGAAATTACGACACATCTTCTCGTCAGGTATACCTCAATCTCTGAAAACTACAGTGTACAACCAGTGCATGTTGCCAGTGATGACTTACGGATCAGAGACGTGGTCCTTCACTGCTGGCTGTATGAGGACGCTCAAGGTCGCTTAGCGAGCTATGGAGAGGGCTATGCTCGGAGTTTCTCTGCGTGATAGACTCAGAAATGAGGATATCCGCAGTAAAACCAGAGTGACCGACATAGCCCAACGGATTAGTAAGCTGAAGTGGCAATGGGCCGGCCATATAGCTCGAAGAACCGATAACCGATGGGGAAGAAAGGTTCTCGAGTGGCAGCCTCGTACCCGTAGGCGTAGTGTAGGGCGACCCCCCACTAGATGGAGTGACGACCTGGTAAGACATGCAGGAAGTCGGTAGATGCAGGTGGCTCAGGACCGTGCTTTGTGGCGTTACTTGGGGGAGGCCTATGTTCAGCAGTGGACTTGTGAAGGGCTGTAATGATGATGATGATGATGAATTAATGTTATCCTATTCATAATGTTATATAAAACCAAATCCATTTAAAATATTCACTTAAAATTTATAAATCAATTACATAGACTGAAAATATTAATGTTATTAGATATAATGAAAAATAGTTATCATACCCAAGATTATGACATTAATTATTACCTCAATCAAAGTTATTCATTAATATAGAAATAAATTAATGTATAAGATTAAATTAAATTTATATATTAAAATCTTAAAAAATTAATAAATTAATGCATTAAAATCTACAAAAAATTGATATAAATTAATGTATTTAAAAAACTATTTATATTTTTAATTTCCTTTATAAAATGCAAATTACATTGTAAAAAAAGTTATATTGTAAAACTTAGTTAGCATGGAATAAAAGGCTTTTTTATTTTATTTTATTTTATTTATCTCCATACACTCTGTGCCTTGAATTTCTAGAGAGGTTGTGTTATCTCCTCTTTTGACTTCACTGTTCGGGTACCTATTTTTTTCCTATGAATGACTCCATTCTTCACTTTCTTTTTTCTTTTCTGTCTTTTTCTTTTTAATTTCTTCTTCAGTATTAGGTTATATACCGCTTATTTTCTCGGCTTGTAAATCTGTGGTAGCAGATGCACAAGCCGAGTAGCAGAGTGTTTCGTGGCCACAAATTCCTCTGAATTCTGATTTTGTTTGACAGTACTTGCAAATGACTTCGGTAGTACTGGTGATAATTGAGTTGCTTTTCTAGTATTTTTAACATTAGTCCCTGATTGACGAGATTCCAGTCTTTCATTTTTTTGTATCAATATCTTTAATCAATTTTCTAAACTCGCCTTTTCTGGAACTATCTTCAATATACTTTGTAATTTAATTAACTCTGTTTCTGTATGGATAAATTTGTTCTCGCGTTGTTTATATGGCTTTATTTGTTCGTCCAACTTATTCATTATTTCTAATCGAAACTCACTCATCTCGAACAAGTTACATTCGTTTTCGATCATAGGTACACCGGTCAGCTTTGTTCGCCTTGGTTAAGTGTTAACGAAAATGGTTGGCGTAAATATCCTATTCATTATTGATTTCTTAAATTTACGCGAACACTACACATTGAATAAAACTAAATTTACGGATTTTATCGCGTTTATTTCACTACTTTTACTTATTTTTAATTCCCGACGTTTCGGGTGCTTTACAGCAACCATGGTCACGGGGGGGACTGAGATGTTTGACGTCCCAATGTCATAGTTAGTCCGGCTACCTTCAGTTTTTGAATATTAATTTTTGGTCCGATTTACGCAAAACGAGCTTATAGTATCATGAAGTCTTGCAGTGGTATGCTTAGGTTTGGGTTTAATTTTGTTAATTATAGGATCCCAAGCAGGTGGCAGCACCCATCCATCTTCTCTATTGAAATTTGGATGTTTTTTAATTTCAATAGCCTCGCGTATCATCCTTGGTAGGAATCGGTGTTCTTTTGCGAGAATTTGTGGTTTATCAAAACGAATGTAATGGTGGGGATGATCTTGAACATGTTCGCAAACTGCAGACTTCCCGGAGCGTCGGTGCTTCACGTCAGCTATATGTTCTTTCACGCGGGTTTTTATGGATCTTTTTGTTTGACCTATGTAAGAGAGACCACATTCACAATCTAACTTGTACACTCCTGCTCTTGAAGCGAGCTTCTATTAAAACATACTACAAGCCGCCGAAGAAGATTAGTCAATTTTTACCATCCGTCAAGTGTAATATCCCTCTACAAGATGCAGGAGTGTACAAGTTAGATTGTGAATGTGGTCTCTCTTACATAGGTCAAACAAAAAGATCCATAAAAACCCGCGTGAAAGAACATATAGCTGACGTGAAGCACCGACGCTCCGGGAAGTCTGCAGTCTGCGAACATGTTCAAGATCGTCCCCACCATTACATTCGTTTTGATAAACCACAAATTCTCGCAAAAGAACACCGATTCCTACCAAGGATGATACGCCAGGCTATTGAAATTAAAAAACATCCAAATTTCAATAGAGAAGATGGATGGATGCTGCCACCTGCTTGGGATCCTATAATTAACAAAATTAAACCCAAACCTAAGCATACCACTGCAAGACTTCATAATACTATAAGCTCGTTTTGCGTAAATCGGGCCAAAAATTAATATTCAAAAACTGAAGGTAGCCGGACTAACTACGACATTGGGACGTCAAACATCTCAGTCCCCCCCCCGTGACCATGGTTGCTGTAAAGCACCCGAAACGTCGGGAATTAAAAATAAGTAAAAGTAGTGAAATAAACGCGATAAAATCGTAATTAAATTTTTAGATTCCATCTTGGTCCTCAGAGATGACAACGTATCTGTAGCCTTCCGTTTGCTAGAAGTTGGTTGTCAATTTATATTGGCTGCAGTACCATAACTGGACTATGGGCTCGTTTGTTACTAACTTGAGTTTTATAAAAAAGGTTTCACTTTCTACTACCACTCATACATACGTACTCGTAATATGTGCATACATAAAGTAAAAGTAAGGTAAAGTAACAACCTATGTACACGTCCCACCGCTGGACACATACCTGCCCTCATTTCTGAGAGGTTTTAGAGCAAGTAAGTGTCCGCCGCGCTGCCAAAATTCTTTCACCGCCGAGCAAGTGGTAAATCAGCACTTAAATTGCAATTAACAATTTCATTGGTGCCGGCGGGGATCGAACCCTGTGAATTTACAGCGAGAGCTCACCATGTGAGCTACCACGGCTCTCATGGTAAGCTTCTTACTACACGGCTGTGTAAACATATAGACATTTAATTGCGTAATAACGAAAAAAATTAAGCAATCAAAAATAAGCAACATAATTTCATTACAATCAAACAAGATCAAGATAAAGTGAGTTTCAGATAAACGCGCAACTATAAAAGTCATGTAATTATTTCAATGTAATGTTAACTTTTCAATATTAGTGATTGAATGTGTCATTTATTTTGTCCACAAATATAATGAATATATTAATAAAAGTATTTGTTTTGCTTATGCTGTTAAGGCAGGTAATGTTTTGTGACCTATTATAATTGTTTATAGTTATTACAGATATTGTTGCAGAGAGATAGAGCGTGGGGGAGGTGAAGATGGTAGAGACTTAAGTGCCCACCACTATCATATAAGTATAAGTTTGCCACGTGTGACTAGAAGTAGAAAAGCGAGTAGTAAATTTAGTATATTATATAGAGAGGCCTACCAATAATATTTTATATGCTGTATTGTTTAATTTATTATTGAATTGAAAAAAAAAAATATTTGTGCGGCATTTTGTGGGTTCTATTCAGACACCTTGTAAATTAGAGTTTATGTTTGTGGTCTACAACACTGAATAAATTCTGCAGTGAAGGTATAGTTTTTAATAGAGAATGAAAAAATAGTACCTGATTGATGGTGTCATCACCATCATTATAATCATCAACATCAATCTAAAGAATTTCAATATTTATTTATTTAACAAAATCCACAGCTCTTTAAATTCTTTTAACTATCTTACATATACATCTGAATTCTACAGTTAAAAAGGATTTACATTTTTTTCTGTAGAAAACTTTTCATTTTAACCGAACTGACAATTTATTACATTTTAGCGCATATCAATTAAGCTGTATGTGCTCACACTTGTGTGTGTGTGTGTGTGTGTGTGTGTGTGTGTGTGTGTGTGTGCGCGCGTGTGTGTGTGTGTGGTGTGTGTGAGTGAGTCGCGCGTGTGTGCGCGTGTGTGTGTGTGTGTGTGTGTGTGTGTTAGAGAGTGAGTGAGTGAGTGAGAGTGTGAGTGTGTGAGTGTGTGTGTAATACACACACACACACGTGTGTGTGTGTGTGTGTGTGTGTTTGTGTTTATTGTGGTTATGAGTGTATATGCGTGTGATATGAAATACCTAATCATTAAGTATTTTCAAAACTTCTTTCACAAAATTTGGTGTACTTCCATAGAGTCTACAGAGTAAAAGTTTTTGTTATGTTCTTTATGTATCCATAATACTAATGAATTTTGGGCATAATTTGTTTTTGTATGAGCTATTGCAAAAAGCTTTATTTGTCGCGTCCTCGTTCTAGGACAGTTTAAACACAGCATTTTGGATACTAATTCCGACAGCCGATGCGCCCATTACAAAGGCGTGAACGTCATATATAATAATCGACGCTTTTCGAGCGTTAAGAAGTAAAAAAGTTATCACATAAAATTCGTAAAATGCAATAAGCGTTTAATGCTGATGTTAAATCTAGCATTTCTGTCTTAATCGGGTCCAGATAATTAGTGTGCTTGAACAAATACCTATGTAACATTATTATTATTTTGTAATTTCAGGCTGCTTTTGGTCAACTCACCACTATACCTTTAGGCGTAAAGTGCAGATGCGTTGATGTACCACTTACAACAAATCCACATATACCACTCACACCAACTGTTGGAGTTCAAAATAACTTGATAAAACAATTTGCAAGTCCCTTGCCATTTGGCAATACTTTAAGCGGTTTGGGCGGATTATCTTTGTCAAACGGACTGTCTGTTTTTACTACACCACCAATTGTCAATACTGCGACAGGTTTAAATGGTATGCAAGTAACGCAAGCGCCAACTGCAAACAATGCTCGGTTTTCTATTCCTTCAAACGTGCCCACATGCCCAGAAAACATACTGGCCGGTATTTCTATTACTCCATTAGTAAATACTGAAGAACGTAGTTTTGGAAATAGTGGCAGAGTTCTTAGTACTGGCAACATTGCTAATGTTGGCAATTTAGGTTTAGCCAACATTGGCTTACAGTTTGTACCAAACAGTGGTATTGCAAATATGCCAGTTCAATTACAAAGTAATATTCAAAGAAATAGTTTAAATATTGGTGGCATTTGTAATCCAGCAAATCATATCATTCAACAATATTAACTCTAAAAAAAGTAATATCCGGAAAAAGTGTTAGATAAGTTTTAAATTATTTATTTTATTTATTTTAGTTGTTAAAATTATTATTTATCATAAAATAAAAACTGTTCTGTATTTTTTTTTGTATTTTATTGTTTTAATCGAAATAAATGTCGTTTTAAAAAAGGAAGATGTTTTTAATTAGACTGTACTTTTAAGTAGTATGTACTATGTTACTCGGTATAATCGTCAATTATGTGGGTCAATTATGTGGAATAACTCTCGAACTCCAGGCCGAATTTCGTACACGGCTGCCAGTCTCAATTGAGACTAGTCATCTGCGCAGACAGGATTATCATAGTACACAAGTGTGGGTGCAAGGACAGGTGCATATTCTCGCACTCTCATATTACTATGAGGTGGCAATCCGGCGTAACGTGCTTTTCGAAGCACGGGGTGAAACATTGCCATCTTCCCAACTCAGGGCTCCTACTGAGAATTGCTTGACATACTATCTTATAACTGATTTTGGCCCGACCCTAGGTTCGAATCCACTCACCATATCACGACCAACAGTCGCGTTTAATACTTCTGGAACAACGAGACAGTCGTATTGACAGGGTGGTACAATTTGAATACGAAGAAAAAAATTTACCCATAAGGGTGAAAAAATAGGGAACGAAAGTTTTGCTGTAACTATTTAAACGATATCTTAGTTGTTGACTGATTAGTTGTTAACTTTGAGCGTTTGTTATGTTATTTTTTAGTCAACTCAAAAGTGTCAAAAAGTATATAACAAGGAATTTAAAAAACAAAATGAAAACCTATGTGCTAATATAAAGTATATCGAAATGCTAAACACCTAAATTCCTGGAAGTATTTTTTTTAGTTTTATAAGACGGCTTATACTTAGTTTTAAAGTTAGGAATTCGAATAAAAATTGACTTCTGTGAACTCGTGACGCGTTCATTTACAGTAACTTATATTTACTCTGGGTAAAATTTATCCAACATATTAATCCAGAATATTGTCTATCCGTACGCCGAATTTCATCAAAATTCAATAATAAATAAGTACCTGAGTAACAAACGCCCAAATTTCGATATGTGGAATTCAGATAATAAAATAATCTGTTATAATAATAATAACACAAACACATACGTTATTAATATTTTTGTTATGCTTATGTGACATATCTGTTTCCATATAATTTTTTTCCTTCCTAACGTTGAATAATTTATTAATCAAATTTAATAAGAGTAATGTTTATATATTTATTATATATAATTTAAGCTACTGATACTCTATCTATAAGAATTGTTATCCTTCTTTTGTTATTGAACAAATAATAAAAATCATGCGTCAAATAAACGAATTTACCGATAATACAAGTGTATAAAGGATAACATAGAATAAAAAAATTTGGCAGTGTATGCTTTATTAGTATTCAAAATGACAGTGAAGTATTTTTTTATTTTTCTTCTGTGTGTTTTTGTGAGTGCCTTTAGTTTTAATTAGAATATAAGAAGATTTTTATTTATAAATTTAATCATTAAATTATTGTAAATAATATAATTCATGCAATAAACAGCTAATAGAAATCATTTCAAGCACTCTACTGGGCTAAGCGAGTTTGCCGGCAAGCAGTAGAAAATTGGAGGTTAATGAAATTTCCAGCAAAGAAGCCATTTTTCAAGAAAGCGCCATTTAAGAGGAGGGCATTTCATAGACCTTTAATATCGAAAATCGAACCTGTTCATTTAGAAGTCGATGAGGCTATAAGTGAGTTCAAGAGTGAAGAAGATTCCGCGTGTGTTGATGTGAGACATAAATTATCATAGATCTGTTAACAATACGTAATTTCATAGAGTAACTTATTAAGTTTTTATGTGGTTGAGCCAAGCTGCATCGTATGGTGAGTGTAGAGAACCGGAGACTCTTTTTAATGGGGCGAGACAAATGGTCTCGCCCCATTAAAAAGAGTCGTATATTTTGATTATCAATGGAGAATAGATGAAGATGTCTATGGATTATAGCATCCACTTATCATTAGGTGAACCATGTGCTCGTTTTACATCTTTATCTATAAAAACACTAATTATGAACAAATTATTAATATTTCTTTCATACTTTCAGACTGACGGCATATTCGCCACACAGAAAAATAAAAAATTTAAACTCTTTCATAAATTGCATAAAATTGAAGAATTCAGAGAAGAAATAGAATATGAAGAAATGGAGACTATTTATGATGATTTCGAAGACTCAGATGAGCTTTATGATATAACAGATATATATTATATGAATGCAAATAATATACAAAACGTGTATTACTGTGATACTGAGGACAAAAACTAAATTAAAATGTGTATATATAATCAGTTATAATTTAATAAACACGTATTATAGTTATTTTGTACACATGTAGTGCTCAAGTTTGTACACTCATGTGACATTATAATTTTCTTGTTAAGCATGTTTAAATATGTAATGATTAATGACAAAACACTATCTAAAGAAATTAAAAACCATTGTTCTTGTTCCTATTTACTAGCATTCATTTTCATTGTTTTATTTTTTGTTTATCAAACGGTGCGAAATAGGGATATGAAAATGGGGAAATCACACTGAATAAATACTAACACGTGTGACCAAAATCGTACTATGTAGGTGGCCGTGTATATACGAAACGTGAAGCACTGGTAAATGTGCGAAACAGATTGTACTGTAAAAGCTCCGCCTGCCAAGTATGGCACAAATTAATAATCCCCATAATAAGAGCGGTCCATATTTAATAAAACATTTTACGGAATGATGACGGTGATAAACGACTGTTTTCATTGTTTCATTGTTAAAACATAAATATGTGTTATCTAAACACGAACAAAAATATATGTTGAGTCAGGTACCTGTGGCAATAAAAACAAAAAGATAGGTTGTGTCAATTGCTATATGAATTGTGGTTATTGTTTAGTGTCACGTCGTTAATATTTGAAAATATACAGACTTAAAACTGCGGCGTTGTTTATTAGCACGTTAAATTCAAAACTTTTTTCAATATTATAGAAGGTGTAAGTGTAAACACCGCTGTCACTAAAACCATAGGTAGTTGGCTTTGATATAAAAATATTTATCCGAATTTAAAAAAAAACGCTATTTTCTTTTATAAATTTAAAAAAGTTTCTGTCCGACACCGTCCGTAAATTCATGGATACCCTATGCGCCCGAGTGACGTAATCACTGTAAAGATCACCGCCCGCCCTAGCTACCTACACAACATTCCAATAAAAACACAATAGGTACACATAACTTGTAATGTAACTTTTCCTTCATACTTTAATCCTGACTTAGGACAGGCAAAAATTGAGGAATTAAGGAAAAATTGAGATATTACTAAAAAAATGTTGTTATTTTTTATTGAATTTACGTTCTATAAGTGAAACCAAACCACTGGTTTCGAGGATAACAGTGTTTACACTAATATCATGTATAGCCTGGTGTTATTGGCCTGGTAAATATATACTACTTTAAAAATATGTTATTTGACAAATTACTGTTACATGCTAATTAAAAGTCCATTGCTGAACACAAGTCTTCTCCGTAGATTGCTTTATAGGGGGGCTTGGCAGGTTGGTGGACAACTACTTTTTTTAATTTTAAGTTACTATTGGGGAGATACGACTGCCAATATCCTGGTTTTGCTTCCCTCTGTCGGCTCTAACGTTACCTACAGGACGATATAGGGTAGTGAATATTCGTACACTGTCATTAAAAGGTTAGACAATTTAAAATTACATAGCTGAAATTACAACAATAAAAGGTGTATTAACGTTAATATACAAGTAGATATACAAACAAAGACACACTTTCATGCAATAATGAACAAGGACAATATAAATAAGATGATATAAATATGCTCATACAAAATGTTTACCGTCGCAGTAAGTGCATGTGATTACTTCATGTAATTGCGTAAAAAGAAATGCTTTTTAAAACATTCGCGTGTATTTTAGGGCAAATAATAATAACGCAGGTAAATTGGTTGACTTCATTATTTATTTGCCAAAATTAATTATTAAATTTATTACCTTTTAATTTAAGTTTATTTGCTTATCACTCTGCCAAATATTAATTGTACTGTGCTCTGCGTTTTGGTAAATTGTTTTTATTTTTTTATTTCGTCTGTAAACCATGAAGAAAAATGTTAGGCACTAATCTATGTAATTGACGTTTTCTAAGACTGGTTAGTTTTGAGTTCGGGTAAAAACTTGCAGGCAGACACCTTCGTAAAGAGTTAAAGAGTAAGAAGGGGGAGGGGTGAAGTGGGAAAATACTCCTTTAAACCTTCACCGCGAATGTATATAGTTTCTTTTTAAGTTTCGATTTTTTTTTGTAAAGAAGTTAAGACTTGCTGCAATCCGTTGAATTTTCACACAAATAAGAGGATTTCGAATCGGTCTGTGACTTGTGAATAGTAGATTTTGTATGATATTCAGAAATGCACCAAACATAAATTGATTCAAAAAAGCTGCTCATGACACACATGGATCAGCTTCTTAATATTTAGCACATCAATGACTACAGAAGTATACTGAACAGAATTGTAAGCAAGAAAGAACTAGCTCTCTACTAAATAACCACAACTTTTCTCAAAACACTGCACATCTCATTGTCATAAAATAACATGATCTTCGACTGAAAATTCTTTGACATCCAACATATTCGCGAGACTTTGCTCGTATTTATTTACATAATATTTATTGGAATACTTTCTTTGAAAAAAACTTTAAAGAATTCAACGATTTCCATCCAACGATTTTAAAATGTAAAAAAATTACGTGTGGCACTCGGTAACTGCCGCGGTAAAGCTATTGCATAGCATTTTTTATCAACTTATGCAATTAAAATTATTTATTTATTTTATTTATGCAGTTAATCTTTGATATTAAATCAAGTTACACTTTTTGAGCGTGGTGACCGATAAGAAAACAATTTTTTTTTCTCTTATTGAATAAATGAGAAGTTAATATTGTTTAAAATATTTTTAATATCTTACAATACATGTAGGTTATTCAGGAATTTTTATCATTGAGTTAGCAGCTAGTGTACACGCATACGTCTAGTCGCACGAACACACAAACACCGTGCCGAACTCTGCCGAGTGCCGAAGTCTGCCGAACTGAAACGACGTTAGACGATGCACGGCTTTCAACGCCACACCTCCGTGCCCGTCGGAGTGGGGAGCGTGAGGTTCTTTTTCGTTACGGAATTTCTGGATTCGGTCCCCGCGCTCAAGGCCCGCGATAGAAGCTATGCAATAGCTTAAAAAAAACAGTTTTCAAATATTATATATTTTTGTTAAGTAAAACCTAGTTTAGTAACAATTAAATACAATTAGATTGGCAATACATGTGTTTTTTCGTGTAAAATAAAGTAAAGTAAAAAGCAGCCCATATACGTCCGCTGGGCATAGGCCTCCTCACTCTTCTAAGAGGGTTTTAAGGCAAGGAAGTGTCCCAGACGCTGCCCCAATGCGTGTTGGCGGACTTCACGTGTCTACGAAATATGATTTTTTTATTTCTCAGACATGCAGTTGCAGCATGCAGCAGTGTTTCCTCACGATGTTTTCCTTCACCGCAGAGCACGTGATAAATCAGTACTTAAATAACAATTTAATTGGTGCCGGCGGGAATCGAACCCGGGTTGCTCGCATACTGTGAAATTTACAGCGGGCGCTAACTCACTGAGCTATCACGGCTCTATAACATGCTTATGACAAGCTTTACGAAAATCAAAATAGAGTCACAGTTACTATCTATTAGTCACTTTGGTTTTTTTTAAAAGTTTGTTGCATTAATATTTGATTATTTTACGGTTCCAAAACACACGTGTCAACATAAACAATGAATTTCAGCATATTTTGGGCTCAGACTGTGAGGATGTAAAAGACTTAATTGAAGAAATAATCGATATAGCTGAGGAGGAAGTAATCGTTGATGGAGATACGGAAGTAAAAATATCTGAGCCGATAACCGATAATTTAACCTTTGAAGGACCCGTGTATGCAACTGGTACTATAAAAATTGTCGGAATGTGTAAGTTTTTTTTGTATCATATCTTTGTTTTAATCCATGAGGGTTGCTTTTGAGCATAATTAAGTACCAAAATCAAAACACGTGTGTTTTAATATTTTAAGTTATAAAATTGTTCATAAGGATCCTGAAAGATTTTTTTTAATTTTTTTACATATTAATAATTGGTAGCAAATACTTGAAATAAAACGTAATAAGGTGCCCAACTCCAGTGGCCACCATTTTCTGTAAAATGCTGCTTGCCACTTCAAGTATATATTCTAATCCGTTTCTAACAAGAAATTCGTAGTTAACTTAATTAAAAATTATTTTACGATATTCTTTATAGATCCCGAAATCGCATGTGAGAAAATCAGGCCTGATCGCTATTTATTCTGTAAATTAAATTTAAAATTTATTTTAATTTTATCTCTGCTGACTGTCTATTAAGGTCCATAATTGAACACCTTTTAAAATGAGCCATTTAAAGTGTACTTCTTAAAAAAATGCATATTATACTTAGTACCTACTCTTGGCTACTAAACAATCTTTACCAAAGCCAACACTACTGCTCAATCTTTATCGGAGCCAAGAACTTAGCACAGGTAATGCTACACTGCGTCACCAGCCTGTAGAATATAATTCGGTACTTTAGAATGGATTTTCCTACTATCGATTGGTTGCCAGGGCATTGTCAGTTAGGTTAGCATCGATTTAGAGAAAATGTTCACGCCCACAGGTTCTGTGTGTTTCTTTACTCGTTTGATAATTGTTTTTCATTATTTTTATTCCAGCGTGGCCAATGTTTCCAATCTTTGGACGACGACCATTTATGAGCACACGAATGATATTTCCTACATATTATTATAACCCATTTTCATATTTTGTGAATCCGTATGATATTATATACGACAATGACGATACTTTAAGTTATGATAAAAAAGAAGAAGAAGAAATAGACAACGAGAAAGTTTTCATTGAGGAAGAAACGGCAGATGATAATTTGACATCAGAAATTAATAATGATTTCTTTAGTAGCAGAATTCCCGTTTCTGGAAGATTAAATATCTTTGCAAGATTCTAATGTTTATGCTAAATGTTATTGCGATAGTAGAAAGCAATGAAAGCAATGGAATAGACAGGGTTATTTTGTAATAACCGGCCAAATTTGCAGAGAAGGTTCAGAATGAAGTAATATAGGCAAACGGTGAAGAAAAATTAATAAAAAAAAATTAAAAACATCCTGTCCTTTAAATTTTTTTTTAATTTTTCTTTGTCTGTTAAATTCAAAACGCGTTAAAGTCAAAATGTATTATTTTAACAGATTTACAGCGCACGCACATATTCGTAAGTGTTAATCGGTACATAAGACAAAACATTGTTGCACATAAATCAAATTCAATTTGGAATAATTTCAAATAAAAGTAGAAGCCTTATTTACTCGTATTTTTAAAAACTGCAGCAATGGTATAACATTATTTATAAATTTACATTTAAGTTTAAGACTACTCTTTGAAAAATAATCTTGTATAGAAAAAAATTATAAACTTATCCAAGGTGATAAATGTTCATTATTTTTGTGAATAAAGCTATATAACAACTACCATAGATAATAAGCAATAAAGCAGTTGTAGATTACAGTATTTTTATTTTTTATTTAATTGTTTTGTGTGTGTGTGTGTGTGTGTGTGTGTGTGTGTGTGTGTGTGTGTGTGTGTGTGTGTGTGTGTGAGCAAGTGCGTGCGTGCGGGCTCTGAGAGGGAGGGAATGGAGAGTACACTCCTGTACCTACACACACTTGTACCTTCTTAATGCCTAAAACAGCCATCGCTCTCAACTAAGGTAATAATGTTAATTTTATAGGTCAATGTGTGCATGTCACAGCATCAACAGTCCTTTTAATTATGGCATTTAGTGGCAGCCCTAACATACTCCTTAATGACCGCATTCTACGGCATAATTTTACACCTAACTTTCACTACCATAAATAATGGAAGGGACAAGCACAGCATTGTGAATTTGCATAAGTACCTCTTTGACATATTCTGACTTACCACAATAAAGTAAAGAACCTCATTTTCTCTGTTTCCTGCATCCACCCTTCGTTCGTTCACAGACAAACGCATCTACTTGCTCAAGCAACTCTTCTTCTATTCTTTATTTCATATAACGTTTTACTTTCTTTTACGTTTTATGTTTTTTAAATACGTTACATTGTTTACACGTTCTGTTCATTGTCGTCTTATTTGCGTTCTCTTTAATGACCCTTGGTACTGTTGTTCACACGTTAGCGTTTTGAGAATAACTAGATTTATTTTATTATTTTCATTTTTTTTATATTTAAAAAGGAAACTGCTAATTTTATCACAGAAGCTATAAATTTGCTGTTTATTGGTAAAATAGCATTTTAATTTGCATCGCATTTTAATAATTTCTGTGTTTGAATATTATGTTCTTCTACATGTAACTGATAAACAAAACTGGCGGAACAAAAACATCAATTTTAGTTCATGTGCTATCAATGTACTGTGTTTACCTTTGTATAGTTGATATCTAATAAATTATGCTTATGATCCAATCGAGTAAGCTACAAAGCATATATTATACTTACTATTGATAGCTACTATATAGGTGCATATTATTGGCGTTTTAATACTGGGTTATCGTATTATATTGTGGAATCGGATCCATCACAAAGCATTTCAGAGATAGCTTCGGGGTAAGTGATAAAACTGTGTTAATCCACTTGAAGCAAATCGGGAAAGTAAAAAACTTGTACGATGGGATACCACATGAATTGAGTGAATCGAACTTGCAAACACGCGTCGACTGCTGTGATACTTTGCTCAACCGACACAAAAATGAAGGGATTTTAAATCGAATCATAACTTGTGATGAAAAGTAGATACTGTACGATAATCGGAAGCGCTCGTCGCAATGACTGAACCCTGGAGACCCAGCCAAATCCTGCCCTAAACGAAAATTGACTCAAAACAAGTTACATGTGAGCGTTAGGTGGACTAGCGCCGGTGTCGCTCACGACAGCTATCTAAAATCTGGCGATACGATTACGGCAGATATCTATTGACAGCAACTGCAAACCATGAAGGAAGAACTAGCTGCTAAAAAACCGAGATTAGTCAATCGCTCTAGGCCACTGCTGCTTCACGACAACACAAGACCACACACTGCACAACGAACAACCACTAAGATGAGCTACAATTGGAATGTCGCGACATCCACCGTACTCCTCGGACCTTGCTTCAATAGATTACCATTTTTTCCGGAATTGGGACAACTTTTTCATACGTGGCAGGGCCATGCTGCAGTTATATTAGTAGTATAGTTGTAGCACAAATGGGTCGGCTCTACTGGGGAAGGACCACACTCTCACAGAATACCAGCGTAAAATAGTAGCTTAATGCTGCTGTATTTCGTATGGTGAGTGTAGAGAACCGGAGACACTTTTCACTGGAAACGAGGCATTCCATCTTAGTCCTCACGGGTGACAACGCACTTTTGTTTTGTAATCGAGGATACATGTTCGTATGCTCGTACGTTGAGAATGTATGTTTGATGTCTATGGCCGCAGCAACCGCTTACCACCAGGTGGACTGTGTGCCCGTTTGTCACCCTATCCTATAAAAAAAAAACTTCTTACAAGGAAAAAAATTCAACTCCGATGCAGCAGTCCAAACCGTCTTCAAAGAGTTTATTGATTCTCGCCCCCGAAATTTTTTTTTAGTAAAGTGATCAATGAACTACCTATGAGATGGCAAAAGTGCATAGAAAACAACGGTGCATACTTTGATTAATTAAATATATTTTACAAAAAAAAAAATTGACTTTATATTCCTCCCGTACAAAACGCCAATTTCATATCTATGGACCTATTATGTAACTTACGACAGTATACAGACGTTATCATTGTGATAAAAATTGACTAAGGTCACAGCGGTGACACTCCCTGTACGTGAGAGCTTAAGCGCCGGTGACCTTGAGTCGAAGCGTGTAACGCTAGGGTTGATATCGAACCGAAATGAAATATTTTAGACTTGTACCAAAGAAGATACATAGTAGGTATGTGTTATATATTATGTAAGCTTATGTATTTAGGTAGTGAAAGATATGTTCAATTTTAAATCAACTTTTATTAAATGAAAACCAAATATGCACGACAGTTAATGGTAATCTTAAAGAATTAACCAACATTTAGTATTTCAGTACGCAATAATCTGTATTACCTACTATCCTTTAAAAATAATTTACTCTTATATATTTTTGAATTTTTCGATTAATTTTTTAATTTTCATTATTATTTCTAACAATTGCAAAAATTCGTAGCATGTATATTTTTTTTTAGAAAATCCAAAGGTATGCAGGTTTCCTGGGACATAGCGGCCAACAAATTGTTCCCTATTTGTTGAAGAGATAAGTCATTTCTATTTCTAATGAAATAATCCATAAATACAACAATGAACAAATACAAAAACTCTTTGACTTTTGTACTCTCGTGGTATTTTTAATAGTTTATCTTCATTTAATGTAATATATTAATTAATTCAGTTAATGTAATATAATAAAATTATTGGCGATATATTAGTTTTATTGCCATGGTATTTCCCCATAATTCTTGTTAAGATCATATCGACTTTCATTAAAATGAGTTCACATATTTTTAGGTATAATAAAACATTATTAAAAATTAAACTAACCAAACAAGGGCCCTTGTTTTGTGCAGTGGAATTTATTTTAATTGTAATCACTTAAAATCACATTCAGTAATACTTATACATATACTATAATATCATTTATTTAATAAAAACAAAAATATTTATCAAAGCATATAAACCTAGCATACACAGCTATAAAAACTAATAACGTTACTTGGTAACATAAACTTAATACCTACATGAATAGAATAGTAATATTACTACTAGCCCTCGGCCAGGGCAGTCGGCGACTGCCCGTTCCACGCCCCGCGCGCCTCTCAAGGCCCCCGCACACATCCAGACACCCACACATAGCCGCAAGCGATTTTACGTGCACACATGCTTAAGTGTCGTTTCTTTTCGCGTAGTGTATATATTCTTTGCTAAGGTTTTGAATACAAAAATAATTAGTTTTACTAACAAATGTACCGTGTACCGGCGGTGTAAGAATATTCTTACACCATACCACATTACATTACCCTACATCTACGTCACGTTGCTGTAGGAAGAGGTGACAGAAAGAAACAAACCGAGAGATGGCTAGCGGCGTCTTGTAATAAAAAAAAACCTGCAGTTGCCAACCTGCCTGCCAATCGTGTCAACTATGGGGAATATACTATAAGGCAATCTATCAGGAGGACTACGTTCATCAGTGGACTTTTGATAGGTCGTAAAGGTAACGGTAACCGGAACCCCCGCATTATTACAAAAATCATATTTCTTGTGATATTAATGCGCAATGAACGCTTATCTTAACCGAATCATCAAAGTTACTTAACCACATTAAAATCACGTTCTAAAATTTCTTATTTGTTGATATAAGATCTTGTCCGAGAGATAAAAAATTATACTATATAAGTACAAATATTTTGTAAAAAATACATTTATTCCTTGTAAAGCATTTCTTTCAAGATGATTGTACTTTATTTTTCATTTTTGACTTTGTTCAAAGTAAGTTTTAAAAAACATAATATGGATATACGTTATTGTTGTAACTTTTTTGTACTTCTATTTATTTGTTAATATGTTTTAATGTTCTTTATTTCTTCTTCAGTTCATGTCGGCGCAAATATTGCCATACACTATAACAGGATCAAATGGGTATGCAAGCACAGCTTCCAATCTTCCAACCGTCATAACTACAAGTGGACCTATGACAAGTCAAGGGTATCAAACTACTATACCATATTCTGGTGGATATGCACATACTCCCACTAGTTTTTCGTCTGGAACTTATTTGTCAAACTCAAACTTAGCCAACGCTGTGACAAATGCTAATTTAGTCAACGCAAACGCTGTTAACTCTTATTTTGATCAAGATACAATCGGTCAAGTGAATGCAAATTTTGCGAATAATAATTTAGCAACATCTGTGGTTAATGCAAATACAGTAGCTGATGTAGTTAACAATGCTAACGCGATTATTGCTGCAGATAATGCAGCAAATAACCTTGTTAGTGCTAACTACGCTTATGAAAACATTTTAGCAAATACAGAAGATATGAAACAAGCCAATAATTTATCTCCCGTTTTAAACGGAAACATGGCAACGTTTTATCTTGGCAATAATGGTAATACATTTTCAGTAACTAGTGGATCTCCTGGCACGCAAGGCATTGGGGTACAAGTAATGGCAGATGCTTTGGAAGTTGGTGGAACCGTAGTTGTAAATGGTAGAATACCGATTTACGGCATGGTTGGTATAAATGGAAATATACCAACTGATGGTATGGCTTCAGTCAGCTATAGTTGTGCCAACCCTAGTACTCTATTATAATTTAGGATGCTGCTATTTATATTATTTTATTTATTTATTTAATTAATTAATAGACAGTAAGTACTATTTATATACATTGTAATAAACATTGCTGTGTAACAAAATAGCACAATGTAATATAAAATGTTAATAAAAAACAGTGAATTAATAAAATGAACGATTTTATTGGAGAACTCCTTATCTAAATAATCATTATTATTTGGTTAAATATAAGTTGTTAGAAACTAATTTAACCAAGCAAGATATCACACTTACTGATGATGGGCGATATTAAAGTGATATGTGTATTATAAGGTGATTTGTAGTGTAGTGACGACCTGTTAAGAGACGCAGGAAGTCGATTGTACAGGTGGCTCATAACAGTGCTTTTTGTAATATCAACCACGGACTCGCTAACGATCAATAAATTGTATTCCCACAATGGAGAATTTACAAAATGTATCATTTGTATGAATTTACAAAGTGATCATCAACAACACTAGTGAATTAATAAATCTGTACAATGTTAGTCTGTTCACGAATATAACATAAATATTTTTTTTTCATAACTATTTTGTGTTTCTAAACTACAGAACTGATTTTCAGCTTGAAAGCATGTCACATTAAATTAAAAGCTGGTATGTGTTTTATACTGAATAATACTGATAACTTACTTAAATAACAAACTGAAACTTACTTTCGCGAAAACATTGATAATTTTGTTGATATCCAGGCTAAAATAAAATCTTTGTGTTTATGTGTGAGTGCGTGCGGGAGTGTGTGAGCGCGCGCCCGCGCGCGCGCGCTTGTGTGTGTGTGTGTGGCTACATTCTCATCACATTAGACTCTGACATTGCCGCCCGTCATACTTCTCGTTATTTCTTGTCCGATTTAATTATGGCCATGACTTTAAATTGCTATTGCAATTAATTTACTTTTAAAAACGTGGTACCTACTTCGGTTCGAGGCGCTTGGCTGGTCTTAAATTTTTACTGACATTTCTAAGTATTCGTCATCGTTAACATAACACGTGCGAGAAAGAAACCGTTGTTACAGAACTTATATCATGTTCCGGCAATGGTTTCCAGCTTTTAACCGAGAGCGGACACTTGCTCTTATCTAACGCTTATATACCTTATGAATGGTTAGAACAGGATTTTAATATGCAAAATTGTATGATTTTGTAATTTAAATATACGCAAATGTGACCTATGTATGAATTAGCGAAAACATGAGTATTTAAATGGTAATATAAACCTTAAGTTATAACGTTAATTTTTGGCGCCTTGCAGTGTCATTATTCTGTTGTCAAAGTTTTATAAAAGTTCGCAATGTGACGATAATTTCCAATTAATTTACACTTTTAAAATAATTAACTGTACCAAATTAAAACCAAAAAATGTAATCCACAAACACTCATCAACTTGTAACTGTACCTGATATTTCTAACTGTTAAAGTTCCTTCTCGTTAATGATCACAGTATTTTTATGTGCGATAATTATTTGACCGTATGTCGTATGCATTATAGAAATGAATATAGATTAAATTTATCAGACGATTGCAGTATTAGAAAACAGCACATTTGATGCTGCTTCCTGCTATAATTCCTGTGTAATGCCCAGACGCATTTTACAAATAGTATTTTTATAGACAATAATATAATATAATAATAATAGGGCAAACGAGCATGCGGCTCACCTGATGGTAAGTGACTATCACCACTCATGAAGGGGACCACTCACCAGGGGAATTGTAGGTGCGTTGCCGGCCATTTAGAAAGGAGTAAGCTCTTTTCTTAAAGTCCCTAAGTCGTATTGGCCCGGAAAAATCATCGGTGGTAAACAATATCACAGAGAAGTTGTACAAGTAAGAAAACTCCTAGTTAAACGCACAGTGGTGGACTACCATGCATCCAGATGGTGAGGATGGTATCGTGAATTTTGACACGATGTGTATTCGTGAAATTTGGCGGCTGGAACTAATCGGAACAATTCCGCAGAACACTCCCCGTAGTAGATGCGATAGAAAACGCAAAGAGATGCAACATCCCTACGCAGCGCTAGTGAAACGAGCCGATCAGAAAAAACTCGGTCGTCAACGATTCGAACCGCTCTGCGCTGCAGCGGTCAAGTGGAGGGAGCTGGCATTGGGGTGCCCCGGCTCAGAGATGAGAACAATATTCCATGTGAGGCCGAACTTGTGCTTTGTAAAGATGGCCGGTGTATGCAACGAATGTTACCAGTTTGTAACATATAATTGATTTGAGACGAAATAGCGATAGCACGCAGCATTGTAGAACACCATCGTTAATAGGCTTGTAATCAGAGCATGCACCGTCTATTACGACTTTGATGCTACGATAAAATTTTTATTACGATTAGATTAAGGAAACTGGTGATCCAATTGTGCAATTTCTCGGAAAGCCCATAGGAAGGAAGCTTCGAAAAAAGCGCTTTGAGCCAGAACCGATCGAAGGTCTTCGCCATGTCAAACAAACGGTCAATGCCTCCCCCTTGGACTCCACTGCCTCCGCCCAACTATGAGTCAGCTAGACCAGAAGATCACCAGCTGACCACGACGAAAACCGTATTGGTGGTCACTAATCACCTGGTGATCCTCAAGGCATCTCATAACCGCCGGCAATTTAAAATGGACTTCATTATTTTGGAGCACAAGGAGGTGATGGGGATCGCTGTGTAAACCGCACATATGGCATGGAGCACTCACACCACGGGATGGTCGGCGGTGTGTTTCCTCCATCATCGTGAGTCGCGTTTGATGCAAAGAGAGAGCCTTACAGATTGGCTTTCTTCTTTGACGGCATGGGCCAGTGAATCATCCTCTCTATGCAGAGATGGAAGAAAGAAAAAAATAAAGAAAGAAATGCATTTTATTCCAGTTTAAGCATGCAGCATAACAAGTAAAAAGTAGTTAAATGCCAAAAGATAAAAATAACTAAATTAAAAGTAATTTAATATTATTATAAATTTAAGAAAACCTTTTAAAAATGCCCTGTGCTGCAGCATGAAACCGTGAAACGGACCGGACTCAGCGATAGCACTGGTTTTCAGTCCAGCCCTTACTCAGAGGCAGCTCGGGCGGCTGAGTGCACGCTCGCTCTTGATGTCCCAAAATTCCTATTATATAATATACATATACATATCCATATTCATATATAATTGGACTGAAAGTAGAATTTGCCTTTTTTTTCCAAAAAGGATACGTATGGAAGCAATATCTACAGTTTTTTATTAGTAAAAAAATAAAATAATAACTAAGGTAAATACACACAACTCGTATAAGGATTTTTAAATTATTTTAAAAGAAAGAAAAGAAAAAAAAAACGAAACAAATAGGCTACCCACATTATATGCTTAGTTTCATTGTTGGTATATTTACATTTTTTAAATACAGGATTTAGTATAATTTAAAGTGCCAAACCGCTCGGTGTCTATGAAATACAGTTACATTACTGATAAATCCATTCATCGTTAATTTAATAAAAAAAATACTAAATTAAAGAATTATCATAAGTTATTAAGGACGGAAGAGATGACCGACAGAAGTTCCCTTGGACTACCTTGACTGGTACCACACAACGGACAAAACAATGGTCTGACGAACCTAGAGAAGTGTCGACGGAAACCTGATAACCGTCCGGATTAGAGGTCAGCACAAGGTCCGACCGGGAAGGTGTATAATCTTCCACATCTGGAATCCACGTAGGCGAAGTAACCAGTTGCGTCAGACCATATGCCATGGCAAAATCGTAAACAAATCTCCTCCTAGGCGTTAAAATTGCCATCGATCACAATCTCTGGGGATGGGATCTGCTGTAACCATTTGGACGTGGTCGATGAGTCGGTATATTTCGGCATTACTGCTATGGGACCTACACAAAGGAGAGTTCTAATTTGTACCCCGGGTAGGAGAGGTATGAAGTATCAGCTGGAGAGGATACCTACTGAGTCTCGGTTAAAAAGAGCAAGGCCGGCTTCACGGTCTCCAGATGGTAGTGGACAGCGTTAAGGTTGGAATGAAGTCCCCTGATGTTGCAAGAATTCATGCATGACAGTGGTCGCCTTGATCTTATTGATCAGCTTGTTTTAGTCGCGAGCGGAAATGCGCCGCCTCCTGAATACACGGGGCAGCCTGAGCACCCACGCTCAAGATTAGAATAGCTTGGTCGAGAATCCTCTGAGAGGGATTCTCCGTCACCAGGAGTGCTGGTACGCTCCTCAGATAGGTTTTTAATTGATTCCACTATTATGTTAATGAGGGGGGGGGGAATTGTCCCTCCGGCCACCTGCCACTACCACTTATACCATCTACCACTATCACTGTTAGTATAGAGAAGATACCCATCTACCACTGTTATAGGCTGTCAACGTCGTGCAGTCCGCGCCCGCGGGGTTAAGCGGGCTACATACGACACGATATCGGTGGCGATCTAGGGTGGAAAGAAATCGGGGCTTTTATCGGGGTAGACCTTACACACGGGCCTGCCTAGCAGTACGCGTTCGGACTTGGAGCGGAATGCATATGCGGTAGAGTTCTTCAAAATACCTCCGACTCTCTTAAAACACCACCGTGTTGGTTTGGCATTAGCCATCTCGGTTAATTTATTCGAAAATAGAAAAAGAGAAGTTGCTGGGTGAAAAAATGGCTCCAAAAGAGATAAAAATTAAGCCACATAAACGTACTAAATGGCCTGTAATCCAAGGACGTGATTAATTTTCTCTTGATGGATGAAGACAGTTTTTATAACCTTCTAGAAATGATTTCGCCACTTATAGAAAAACGTCAATTTCTCCTACCTATGCTATTTAGTTATTTCTTCTCTTTTTTCATTTCTGCTTTGGTCAAAATCTGGTTATGTATTACACACAACAAACAAGGAAATAAAATACTTTTGTATAATAATATGTATACTTTTTTTTTTAATGTAATCTTTAATTTATGGAGTAAAACTATCAGAAAATAAAATAGCTTATATCTTTTTTTAAACATAAAGAAACCTTTAATTTCGGACATACTCCCTTTTATATAACTTGTTTGTTGATGTGGAGATGGTGAAGGAGTAGAAAAGTTGTTGATAAGAGATGAAGGCACGTAAGAATCGAAGTGTGGTCTTGTGGAGTTGTAAGAGATATGAGTGCGGTCTTGTGTTGATAGCGTTGGAATAGGAGTTAGTTGTTGAGGAGAGGCTTTATCTTCTCCTTACTTACATCATACACTCTACTTTACGAACGGCAATAAAAAAATTAGTTTAGTAGGCATTCTTGACCATGTCACTTCGCAGCGTCACAGGCTAGGGTGGATATGATTTGAATTTCGATAAAATTTCAATTAATTTATTTATTTTATTCACTTTTTTTTTTTGGTTTTTTTTTTTGTAAAATATCAGTACCATAGGCTTCTACTCCGTTTATATGATTAAAATGTAAAATTTTTGTTATATAAAAAAGGTCATTCAGTATCACTGTTTTGTTAACTTCCTTCCGCGAGGGCTGCCGGCAGCGACTGCCAAAAGAAATCGGGCCGATGCGCCTACACACACGCAGTAAGGAGGGGGCGGTGCCCCGATCTAGGAAGCATCGGCTGATCTAGGAAGCATTTTTGCTCCTGCCAGCCGATTAAGGAGGCGATATCGGCCACGACTTAGGATGGCTCTACATACGACACGATTTAGAGGCAATCTAGGAGGCATCCTCACTACTCCACCCTAGATCGCCACCGATATCATGTTGTATGTAGCCCGCTTTACAGGAGTTGGCAAGTACGAGGTAAAACGGTCTCAAAGGGGAAGCGAGCGGTATGCGGGAGGGCGAGCGAGCACGCCGCGTGCTCCAGAGCGCCAGTCACCGGTGGTTGCTTGCAACGGTTACTTGTGTACTTGGTGCACACGAGATTACGATTCGAAGATGAGCAAACCGATTCTACGACAATCAAAAGAAATTGTGTATACGTTATACATGTATTATGTATTTGCGCAGTGTGCGCACTGCAAGAACCTGCGGGGATGATACCTAACTATATTAAAAGCAAAAAGCACTCCATCTATTGGAGAAAACGGCATGAAAATCCGTTTAGTAGTTTTTGAGTTTATCATACAGACAGACGCGGCGGTGGGACTTTTTTTATAATATACAGTGATTTAATATTATATCGAATTCATCACTATATCACACAATACTTTTTTTTTTTTATAGAATAGGGTGACAAACGAGCACACAGTCCACCTGATGGTAAGTGGTTGCTGCGGCCCATAGACATCTACATCTATCTTCCATTACAAATCAAAATGCAGATGCGTTGTCACCCGCGAGGACTGAGATGGAATACCTCATTTCCAGTAACAAGGGTCTCCGGTTCTCTACACTCACCATACGAAATACAGCAGCATTAAGCTACTATTTCACGCTGGTATTCTGTGAGAGCGTGGTCCTTCCCCGGTCGAGCCGACCCATTCGTGCTACAACTATACTACTAATATAACTGCAGCATGGCTCTACCACGTAATAAATCTAATCGTAATCGTAATAAATCTAAATATATCCATATTAATCTCAACATAACTCGTTCTCAAATCCCTACGTATGTAGCCGTGGGCGTGGCCTCGTGCACGAGCTGTGTGCTACCTCGTCCCTGTCCACCCTGTACCCCGTGGGCGCAGACAGCACGACGTCGACGGCCTATAACAGTGGTAGATGGGTATCTTCTATATACTAACAGCGATAGTGGTAGATGGTATTAGTGGTAGTGGCAGGTGACCGGATGCCCAATTACCCCCCCCCCCCATTAAAATAATAGTGGAATCAATTAAAAAACTAAATATTTATTATATTAACCATAGTCACCTCTAACGACACCTACGGAATAATACGGATTTTTATGCCATGACTACAAAGTGAGAGTAAGAATCGAAGTGAGAGTTAGAAAAGTTCACGAAACAAAATGCAGATGCGTTGTCACCCGTGAGGACTAAGTTTGAATATCTCGTTTTCCAGTAAAAAGGGTCTCTGGTTCTCTACACTCACTATACGAAACACAGCAACGTTAAGCTGCTATTTCACATCTTACTAAATCATTCATTGTTTCTTAAGATAAATGTCAAATTAATGTTAATTTTATAAAATGCTAATTTCTGCAATTCATTCTGCAAGAAGTAAAGATGTTTTTACTAACTTAGAATCCATACAATACACGGCAATCGGTATGTAATACGAATTAATTAAAGAATTAAGATAGTTTTTATTTATTTGAAGCAATTTTTAATATTGTCTTAATCTTTAATAAGACGTATCAATAATGGATTAGATAAGGAAAGTTTAATACTAGAGTGAAATTGTGTTTATTTATGTCCGACCAGGATAAGTAAAAATATTAGAAAAATTGCAAAGGTCTCCTATTTGATCCTGAGGGTCGTGTAGGAATGAGTTTGTCAACTTACACAAGTGTTTGGCAGAAAAGAGAAACGCAAGTCCGAACCGTTTCTTAAGAATATTAGTTACAATAGTACTTAATTATTATAAAATATGAAAATGCATATAAGGTATGCTTCGGATAGATTCTGTGTGACGATAAGATAAGAAAAAAGTTAAAAGAAGTCAATTTTAGTAATAAAATAACTAAATAATAATAAAAATGTATAAGAAAATTAAAGTTTTAATTATGCTTAACAGCTTTAATTCTTGCATTAAACTGTGATATTATTTAAGAAAAGTGAAATTAGTGATGAGAATTGTATTAATAAGTTTATATTCGACATTTTTATGTTTACGACTGTAAGAAATTGTTTGTAAAATTGTGATATTTTGTTTAATATTTTATTAATGCTTTATGTAATGTGAATTTTTTAATTGTTTTTATATATGTGCTTTCTTTGCAGTTTATTTGAAATATGATTGTTTTTTAATGTTGTCATGGACAATAAAGATATGTTAAAATATATGGAAATGTGATAGTGAAAATTGTCGATTAAATTAATTCAATATGGCTTTGCGCGCGTAGTTCTCTTTTTGGTTTAGCTTACGGGGTAGGTTAGTAAGTCACCCAATTTGCAATTTGTTCGGGAAGTTCGGAACCAGCTACAGTTTCCAGTCTTAAGTCAAGAAAGAAAATGAAATAAGGGAAAGTAAAGTGAAAGTAGTGAAATTTCGGTATTACATTTCCAAGGGATTTTTACGAACAATTATTGTTTTATTTGTAGACTTATTCAGCGTCCACCCTAAAAGTAGGGAAGTAAGGAATATACAGTACGTAGGTAAGTAAGTACATAACTGATGTCATGACAGGTACCATTCCTTGGGCACCCATAATCTTAGTCGTAAACCACTGTCTTTTGAGAGAACGGTTAAAGTTCTAAGTCGAACGTCTTATTCAAGGGTCACTCCCAGCGCGTTGTTTACCGAACCCAACGAGGTGTGATGTAACGTTGATCACTGTTGCGGGCGTGAGATGAACAACGAGACCGTCGGTTTCAATGATCGTGTTTCAGTTCTATTTTTTTATGTTTTTCTCATATCTTCAAATGCTTAATTTGTTTTCAATTTGTGGTAAACTAAATAACACTGACGATTGTAATGGCCATAAAAATTGTTTTTGAAAATAACAACATATTGAAAATTTAGAAGCAGGAAATGATGAAAACTTGAAATTTATTTAAACCACTAATATTTTAATGAGTATATTATATCATATCATAATATTGTAGGCAAGATTAACTAAAATTATAGTATTAAAACAATAGCAATCTATTAAATTGTTGGATTAGAGCAGCCGCAATTACTAGCTAGGGTGACGGTTCCCCCAGCTGGTATTGTTCCCTCAAAGGTAACATATCCAATCACTGGTACGTTGCCAACTACAGCTGTAGATCCACCAACCGGTAATTCTCCAGCTAAGGTCACGTCTCCATACGGAGATACACCAGAGATAGGCAAACCTCCGAGAGAGAATCCTTCAAAGCCAGTACATCCTCCATTTATATTTGACAAAAATGCCGCAGTATTTGCGGCATTTGTGGCTATAGTTGTTGCTTCTGCAGCGCTTATAGCTGCTTCACCTGGTATCCCGGAATAAATTGGTCCTGTTGACAAACCGCTTGTCATTGCCAGATTATTTGGTACCATTCCATTTCCTATGACACCATTAACACCATTTGTTGAAATAGCATTTGTATAATATGGTGCGTTTGTTATAACTTGGCAAAGGAATTTCTGAAATTGAAGATCATGTTATTGAAATTAAAATTTGAATACGTAATATAAAAGTTATATTTTTGTTAGGGTTACTTAAAACGTAAGCCCAGTATCATCTGAAAAAATTTAATTATTATCATTTTTGCCGCCCGTCAAAAGTCAAGTGCTGAACAAAGGCCTGTAAGTAAGTTACAGCCTATAAACGTCATGTTAGGATCAAGCCTCCTCTTTTATCAAAGGGTTTTAGAGTAATTAAGAGCTCGCCACGCTGAGTGTTGTTGTTCACTTAACTTACAGGCTATCACTCAAGACCTTTCATCCCCATCTGTTGCGTTAAACAACATAATCACCCCCCTATCATTTCTGCTTACAGTAAGATAACGAATATTTTTAACATTGTTGGTTACTCTGGTTCTAACATATTAAAAAATTTGTTATTTCAATGGATGAAATTACCTGAATGATGCAAGCCAGAAAACAAAACAATACGTATCGAATCATGATCACTATATTAAATTTTAAAGTTCAAAGGACGAACGAGCCAAACTGATCATTTTGATTAATGTTAAATGTTTTATATCTTACAGATTACATGCGTTTACATAATATAAAAGTACCTACGTGATTAATTGAAGAAAAAGTAAATGGTTTGGGTAATACTAGATTGTGAACGTGCGGTATGATGAAACCGAGATATGTCTAAGATGAGATAACATCAGTAGTAATTTTTGATTTAATTTTAATCAAACATAATATGTGTAAAGATCAGTCTTAATTTGAACGTTTTATATCGATCAACAAAAACCGAGTAGGTCATCGTTCCGGAGCTATTTTCATGTCATAATCTGAAATACCCTTTACCTATTTATTGATGAAAAATCGACTCCCCCAGAGTACCAGTACTGTAAACAAAGTATATAAAGTAAAAAAATAAAGTTACTACCTGTACATCAAAAACAAGTACATCTCACTGTTGGGCACAGGCCTCTTTCCATTACCGAGAGTATTACGAAGCAAATAGTCTGCCGCGCTATTCTAGTAAGTGTTGCCAGACTTTACACGTTCCCGAGATATTGTACTCACACATGCAGGTTTACAAACGATGCTATCCTTCACAGCCTAGTGTAGGGGGTGAAGACCCACCGACCACTAACTGTTAAATAGTGTACAATACTACAATCTATTAATAAATTGTATAGTGGTGAATAAAAAAATGACTATCAATAAGTATTTTGATAATCTAAATTTAATAAAATCATTAATTTCATTTCATTTCTTGCCCAACAGGCTAGCGTGCCAAATCCTGTCAAAGGCCTTCGAGACCACGGGGAACAGAAAATTTTTCCTCACTATTCTCGAGAGCTTCATCCCATATTTAGTGGCATACGCTAAAAGGTCCTCAGTAGATTGATTTCGTTAAAACCCGTATTGTCGGTCCCTGAGATCATTCTGCTCTAGTATACCTCATGGTATAAACAATGCTCACCTCATGGTGAGTGTTAAATATACGCTCCATAATCTTGCAGAGTATGGAGGTAATTTTGATTGGCTGCCTGTTATAGGAACAGGCACATGCACATTGGCTAGATTCGAAGATTTGGGCACTATTACAACCATGAATGAGAGGCAGAACAAGCGCGTCAATACAAAAGTCAACTTCAGAACTATACCATCCATGGTAGCTAGCACTAGCTTTGTTTTCGCCTTTACTTTGTAAGGCTCAAGATCCTCCTTGTTGTGGATATGGGCCTCTAAAATAGAGATGCTGCAGTTTTACGCTGTTGTCCAGACTCGAATAGCGAGCAAAAACAGCAGCAAATAAGTCCGCTTTCTCTTTAGTCGCCTGCGCCAGTAGTCATCTAGTTTTACCAGCAGAGACATTGTAGACCAACAGAAGTTTGTCTCAACCGCTTTTAATGAGGTCGAAACTTGATCAAAGGCTCTCTTCTTAAGTCTAACATCCAGAGCTTTGTGGTCTCGAGCATCGACCCAGGATAAGTACGTCACTTGCTTGTGCTATTCATCATGAGCTCATTCGGTGTTGAACCATGGGCCAGTTTTACCACCAATGGACACGTCAGCAAAGGGAGATGAAATACTCCATCGCTTGACGAATCACATCGGTTATGGTATCCACACAGCTTGACGGACCTTGAAACAAGAAGCAGACAAGGGGAAAAGCAATGCCGCATCACATCCCAATATCCTAACTTGTAATGCAACACTAGTTGCACAACCTCGAAATCGTAGCTAGGTAGGGAAAACGACACAAATTTCACCAGATATTAGAATAACAATGGAATAGAATAGAATAGAACAATTTTTTATTCAATATAGATTACATGTAATTCTTATTGAAAGTATTTTTTACTTTACCACTGGTTCGAAAAAAACCTCTGTCCTGGGAAGAAACAGCAAGAAATCCAGCGGAACTTTAAAAAAATTTACAATGTCAATGGTTACAAAATAAGTGGTCAGAAGTTCCCAAGGGCCAGGTAACCAGAACATTGTACATATCTGGATCGGTTGTCAGAAGAAGGTCGAAGCAACTGTCTGTGTGTATATCCACATCCTAGTCGCTTGTTTTACCAGCTGTGATAGCTTCTGCGACAAGGCAAAACTCCACGGCTCTCTCGCAGTATGGTTTGTCTACTGTTATGGGAACAACCATTCCTGATGATAGGCATTAAAGTCCCCCAGAAAAAGTAACTGTACAGTAAGGTACCAGTTTAGAGCCACATCAAAGGCTTTACCGAGGTGTTCAAATAGCCTAGTTGTCTCCTGGTTACTGCTGTAGATCAGTACAAACAAGAATAAATAATTTTATTCATTGCTGAGTCTATTAATACCCAGTGCATTAAAGTGGGGTCTTAAATGTTACGGAGAAACTTACAGTAGATGTCTTGGCGGACGTAAATGCAGCCTGGTGAAAATTATGCTCCAGTGTATACCCATAGTAGCCAAGGTACTCCGCATCTACAGGATGTCTGATCAGCGTCTCAGTCAAGAAGGGCTGGTGCGGCTTTTCAGTCTCAAGGTGGTAGTGGACTGCATTGAAATTACAGTATGTTTGTGAGGTGCACTTTGATGGAGAGGGAGTGCAAGCGCTGTAAAAAATTGGTGGAGTAGATAGGTTGAGAGAACGGTAGTTGGACGCGACGTCACACATATAACCTAGGAACGCAACTCGCCAACTCCTGAACTGCTCTGGAAATCGTCTGTAACACGAGTAAAAACAAAGGCACTTAATATCCTCAAGTCAATGATCTGAGACGGTAAAAGGACATGAACTGTCAGAGACGTAGTCACTATCATAACAAAAATAGTATGTTTTACCAAGAACCAAAAAAGTGGTCTTGTAAATGTCGCTATAGTTGGTTTTTTATATTGAAGTAATGGTGACAAACGAACACACTGTCTCCCCGATGATATAAGCTTGTTTTCCTCTGTCGCCTCTCACGAACCCCACGAGATTTTCAGGATCCATTTTGACACCGCAACAATACAGTATACAGACATCCTAATATATCCTCAATTAAAAATCAAAATATAATAAATGACTGTTCTCGATCGTACTGTATACTTATTCGTAATGCAACCATAATACGCTGTAGTATGCCAATGTGCAGAAAGTGTACCATTAGCATAATACTTTGCCCACTGGGCCAGATAACAATTTCCATTATATTATCGTTAACGAAAGACTCACTCGGAAAAAAATTACAATCACCCTTCATACTGGGAATTTCCCCTCCAACATGGACGCATTAACATACTTAAATTGCACATGGACTAACACACAGTCAGATGTAATGTTAAAGTTAAAATTATAGCCTATATACGTCCCACTGCTGGGAATAGGCCTCCAATAATTCCTAAGAGGGTTTATGGCAAGGACATGTCCGCTGCGCTGTTCTTTTTTCTTATTTTTCAGACATGCAGGTTTTCTTACTATATTTTCCTACACCGCCGAGCATATGATAAATCAGCACTTAAAGTTCCCGTTAACGATTTCATTGGTGCTTGCGGGAAACGGATTCGGTTTTCACGCGTACTGTGACATTTACAGCGAGCACTTAGGCCCTGAGCTACCACGGATCGTATAACAGACATGGCTGTAAAGTATTGTTGATTATTTTTATTTACAAAATTGATACAAACAAAAGTCTAGTGCGGAACATAGGCCTCCTCTAAAGATTTCCTCACGGAGAGGATATTTTACATAGCTTGCTTGTAATCAGGAAGATGCTGCTGGCTATCTCCTGTACCATTTACTTATAACCCACCGCTATACGCGTTCTAAATTGCTTGACTTCATAGTACTCAGCCGCCTTCTCTATTGAAATTAGGATGTTTTAATTAATTTATTTTATTATTTTTCAATAACCTCACGTATTATCTATAAGTGTTCGAATACCGAAAAACCTTAAGTTATCCCATTACATCAATCCATACATTCATTACAGCCTATAAAGTTGAATATAAGCGCCCATAAATTGTCGTGTAGGTTGGATTTTGTCTTATTTGCCACGCTCGGCAAAGGCAATTTTTTATTTTTTTATTTGTCATGGAAGATGTAGTTTTTACGAACATTGCATAAAACCACATATTTCCATCTTTTAATATAATTATTTCACATAATATGATCATATATTGTGCGTATATTTGTTTTGTTGCAACTCTATCTATACCTTTCACTACACTATCAGCGATAATTTTTTTAGAAACGTAAGGCAGTTTTCATACATAAATTTCACATGTACAAACATCCCGACCCGAAAAAATTATTTTAGGTCATACAAATACTTTGAACTTGCGGCATTCGAGCCCGCTCTCAGTAATGAAAATCTGTCCCTGCACTAAGTTCTAATTCGGCAATGAAGGTGATCGAAAAATAAAATAAATTTCGAAACGCTTAAAATCCTCCAGGGCAACACCTGAAGTCATTAGAAGGGAGAGACAGAAATGGGTGGCTGGGCTGGACCTCCGATTAAAGAATCAGGGGTCCGTAAGCACGTGTGTGTGATGGTAGGTTGAGTCCGTCGTAGATCTTACGTAGGCAACTCTTCCTGCAATGTAAATGCTGTTGGGCTGGCGAGTGGTGGAGGAGGTAGTTACACCCTCCCACCACTGCCACATCGTTTTCGATGTCGCATTTTGCCAGCTCGACAGTAGCCGTCAAATAAAGTTTTATGCGAGGGTAGAGCCAAGCTGCAGCTATATTTGTATGGTTGTAGCAGGAATGGGTCGGCTCGACCACCCTCTCACAGAATACCGGCACAAAATAGCAGCTAAATGCTGCTGTGTTTCGTATGATGAGTGTAGAGAACCAGAGACCCTTTACTGGAAACGTGTATCCATCTTAGACCTCAGGGATGGCAACGCATCTGCATTTTGATTCTTGATCGAGGATAGATGTAGATTTTTATGGACCACAGCTTCCATTTACCGTCAGGTGGACTGTGTGCTCGTTTATCACTCATATTCTATAAAAAAAACCCAGTTGCCGAGGGAGCAGCCCACCATAGCATTGGTGCCTTAAGCGGCTCGATCGAGAAAAGCTCGAAGCCGCCGCTATCGTCGCGTTTTGGACCCCGAAGAGATTCAGTACGACTCTGAAGTGGAAGCGAACTTATTTCGGGGTACAATGACCTGTCAATGGCAGAAATTGCACGGCTCCGTGCGCTTTGCTTGCGGAGTCGGCGCCAGTACACTGTGGCCGTAGGAGGAAAAAGGGAGATCTCCCGCCGGGCAAGGTGTTCTGCCCGGGGAGCGGTCAACACTCCATGTGATAGTTCAGAGATGTTCTATATATTATGATTCGGAATTTTGATAGCGTGATTTAGGCTTCGGTGTGTTTCGCTTGCGGCGTGACGACAGTGCCGCCACATACACCAGAGCCCAAATGAGAAGAAAGGCAAGCTCTGCCCGAGAAGATAGCCAGACTATATGGGGCATACCGAGCGGATAAAAAGGCGCTACAAATCGCTATAGCCAAGTCTCGGTCCTGGAAAGAGCTTCTGGAGGGACTTAACTAAGATTCCTGGGGGCATCCGTAAAAGATGGTGCTGGGTAAGCTCCGGCCTTGTCGCCCTCCCTGACAGAGGTTTTCAATCCGGATCTGCTGGGAAGGGTGATCAGCACGCTCTTCACAGAGGACCGGTCAAGTTCCTCAGGTCACTTACCGTCGCCATGTCAGTGGTGGGATGAGATAGGGGTGACCTTGAAAGAGCTGGACCGAGCCTTTACCCGTTTACAATCCTAAAACACAACCCGGAGCTCGATACCGAGTCATCGCCAAAATCTACGAGTTCGAGATTGGAAATAGCGCCTTACAAGACCGAGGCCCTGTGGTTTCATAAATTACCACGAGGCAGGGCTGACACGTGCGTCTGCGTTTCGAAGTACATTTCAAGCGCCTAGATCCCCGGATCGAAAGGGTAGCGGGTGCTATGCCTATGCAGTATATACTGCTGCCCAATCTAGGGGAATTGACAGAGGAAGTAGGTCGCCTTTATGCAGGAGTTATACAGTCCGTATCTCTGTATGGAACGCCTGTATGGACAAAAAAGCTGGCCATTCGACTATGTAGAACTAAAATCTACAGTGTCCAGCGGATGATATCCATATGCATCGTACGAGGGTACCGCACTATATCCTTTGAGGCGGCGACAATCCTGGCTCGCTTTTCACCTTTGGACATACTGGCGCCTCTGGGCATACATGTACGCGAGGATATACGACCGCATCCGTACTCTTCGCCAGACTGGTGGTAGTGAGCCAGCCCGTTACTTGAAAAACGCGCATCGGAATTTCTGCCGGTCTTTGAAGCCTGGATGCAGCGACGAGTTGAAAGACTCACCTACAGACTTACACAGATATTTATCGGGTACTTGTGCTTCGCTGATTATCTATGTAATATCGGATGCGAGGCGACAGTGAACTGTTTCCACTTTGATGAAAGGAATTAAGACTCCGCGTCCCATATGCTGGCAGTATGTCCAGCGTGGAAACGGGACGGACGATCCTGGTGAACAATATCGAACGGAACCTCTTCCTACCAGCAGTCGTGTCAGCAATGCTGGAATTTAGAGGACCATTGCCACCTTCCGTGAATCCGTTATGATTCAGAAGTAGGTTGGTGAGCGGGATCGGGAGAGGGCGGATCTCGCGGAGACGATGTCGCCAAGGCGAACGTCACGGCCCTCATCTTGAAAATGGTGTTCCTCTATCAGAAATAGACTTCTGGGGCTGCAGACGCTCGCGGCGAGAGCCCAGAATGCATAGATGTAACCCCCGAGGAGGATGATGTCTCGAAAGTAGTCCCGAGAAATCGTGATAGCACTGCAAGGGTGCTTGGGGTAGAAGACTGCACCGGGACGTGCTTTAATAAAGCAAAGCGAGAGAAGGGCCCCGGTTGCGTTCCGAACGGACCCACATAAACGCTAATGACGACTATCGTGGGGTTTTAGCCGGTAGGAGTCCGGCATAATCTTTTCGTTGCCCAACGCGGAAGGTATCCATGAGGATTTCCCCGTAAACTTAGCTGACATATAATGCCTATATGCCATTAATTTCCCCTTTGTACTAAAATATTACTGTGTAATAAAAAACTTAATAATCAAGGAAGGATAAATAAAATAAAATCACCTTTAAGTTCTTTAAGCGTTTAATTATGTTTCACATCTAGATAACGGGTAAATTCATGTAGGCTCTTAGAATATGTCATTACAGCCTAAGTCCAGTCCAGTATAACTTCCTGGAAATATTTCTTCTGTAAACATACCAACATTTCCGTTACCACAGCCGTATGCTACAGTTCCAGTTCCGACGGTTGGTACTTCGCCCTCTAAGCTTACGGTGCCCAAGAATGGTAGGATACCTTCTACGGACAGAACGCCTTCAATAATATTCTCAGATAATACTGAGATTCCAGTTGGAGCGATGGGGGAGCCGGAAGTTACGATAAGTAAACCACCAGAAGTGGCAGCGAGATCATTGGGTGTGTATAGTCCGGTAGATTGAAGACCAGCACACGGACTGCACGGATAAGCAGCAATTACCTAAAATAACAAAACAGCGATTTTATCTCTTTTTATTCTAGCAATCTAGTAGTATGGCTAAGAAAAAGATAAAAATTACTTTACTCATTTCGTATAGTACACTACCTACTACTATTACCATGTAGTGAGTGATTACACATGTATTTACATACTATCGATATGTACAGTATAAAATGTTTTTATTGTAAAAACACCTTCTTTAAAAGTCTAATAATAAAAATATTATTAGAGTGAGCACATGCGATGCCATTTGAGTGTCTTAACCCTATCATGACCCAGTGGCGTCGTTACCTCATGTTGAGTACCAAATTGGGTGCGCTTAGCCCTACATCTAAAACTGCTCTAGGTATGTAAAAAATCTGTTGCATTGCGACATTCGTGTGATACTACTTCGTGGTCCAACGAATCGTTTAATTGTCCCAAATTTCGGGCGTCACTGTTATTTGAACACAAAGCGTGATTGAATATTAGTCACGAAAAAAAGCCAAAACAATTTAACCGGATGCCTTTTTTAATGGAAATGAAGCATTCCATCTTAGTTCTCAGGGGTGACAACGCATTTGCATTTTGTTTCTTAATAGATGTAGATGTTTATGGGCCACATCACCCTCTTACCATCAAGTGGATTGTGTGCTCGTTTGTCACCTGCCTATTCTATAAACAAAATTGCTCAAAAAGCGACATGCAAAAACTTATTTTATATTGCATTGCATTTTAATGAACAATGTTACCTTGATGAGGAGGACTTGCAGACATAGGAGAGCAAAAGTCTTGACTGCCATTTTGTTTGGAGCTTTGATGTTTTAAGTGATGAATTGGAACTGAATCTAGTATGATACTGAAACAAAAATAATACAGCTTTTATATAAAAACAAATAATTATTTAGAGCAAAAACACAGATACTAAAAGTATTTTGATAACGAAGAAACAATGTAAACTTGTCAGCAAATACACTAAATAAACGTGACTTGCTATATTTTTAGTTTTTTTTAATCAGCTATGGTAACCAGGTGTCAAGACAGCTTTGTTTAAATGTTATCAAGGTAATGCAAATGTACGCTAAAAATCTGTCGATTTCCTTCATTAAATTTCCAACTGAGCTTCACGTGTATTCGTATACTCTTAATTTATCAGGCCATAAAATTCTGTAGTTGGATAATAGTTACTCATGAAGAAAGAATTTGTTTTAATAAGTGTTAGTATGTACGTCTCCTTATGGACAAGTGGCTTTACATCTTTATAAAATTAAAGTGACTATCGCACTTACCGTCCACCTGATGGTTAGTGGTTACTGTAGTCCACCAACTTCAAACAGAGTACAAACATGCGTTGCCATCTCCGAGGAATGAGATAAAATGCCTAAAAGTCTACAATTATACTGTCTTTCAGCAGTGAACTTGCTAGGGGCTGTGATGATGAATAATGACGATAATATAATGTAAACAGTGTAAACATGAATCGATAAAAGCAAAACTTTATAGTTCTTGCGGTCGGAATTCATTTGTAAGCCACGTTACTACTAACTTGTTGAATGCGGTGGAATATTAAATCAACTTAACTTTAATTTAACAAATAATTTGTTAAACTTTAGGCAAATACTACGAGAAGTTATTGCAACATTAAAATTTAAGCAAGCGTATGAAATAAAATTTATTTCATTAGTATTTTTTCAATAATGGCTGCTAGAAATTGAAATTTTCGCATTAAAACAATCTTACTTAATAAACACCTTTTCTAGAAATACCATTTACTTCTGTTACTATAATATGATTTATCGAATTTTATAAATATAGAAAATTCATGCCCTTTGGAAGCGGTTTATTTTATAATAAAGCAGAAACACTTATGCAATGGAATTAAACACGAAGAAGTCTGTAAGTCCCAAAACAGCATTCCAAGTTCGTGACTACAATCCAAACTGGTGATAAGTGGTGGAAAAGCTCTAAATTGTAAATTTCACTATCATAAGTAACAACAGCCTATTCACTCTTGCCTTGGAGATTCCCAGATTGTAATGGGATGGAAATGCAGACGCTTGTGTTCTACATTTACAGCCACAACAGTAATCACAGGCCTCCCTCAAAGAAAGTCACATATTACGGCTCTCAGCCACCTGCATCCATCTACTACCTGCATCCGATATAATTTAAGCAGTGGTGGCAATGTATGTAACGTATTTTCGCCCAGCTCAAAAGAAGCTCAAAAAAACGCAGCTAATGTCGTCAAAAGACGCACAGTCGTCGACAGTTTTCAAATAGCGAAATTCAAAACTAAGTCCTATATGTAGGGTATGCTTCGAAACGTTTTCAGTATATGCATTCTGCGTCATTACTGAATACAAATGACGTCATCAATTGACACCATATTGTACTGGCGTGCCTCTGCCATATTGTGTCGGATACCCGGCCATAATAAAACAATTTTTAATTGTGTGTGCGCTGAATGAAGCATGCCAGCATTTGTTTTTATTTATTCAAATACAAAAAATTATAGAATAATTGCTGGTATCTCCATTAGGAGGATATAGTGAATTTGGAGCACAAAGAGACAAAATAATCGCCAGCACTTTTCCAATATGGCGCAAATGTGACGTCATATACTGTCCCATGTTTTGGAACGAATCACCAGTATAGCGTCGATTCATGACGTCATTTACATTGGACAGTACACTGGGTTCTATTTTGGAACATACCCGTAGAATACTAGCCACATGACTTTTGTAACGTCACTGGTTGAACTAGTCCCGCAAATACTTAAAATGCACAAATTACACAAGGTACACTCGACGGCAAAAAAGCAATCTTTGCTAGCTTCTGTCACTTAGGTATTCTTTCTAGTGTCCATTCCTTTTCACTAATAGCTTACGTATTTTTTAATTTTATATTTTTTCACCTAACAGTTTCTATTTTTTTTGTTTATGCGTACTAATCACTCAATGAAATAGATAGATAGATAGATAGATAGATAACTCCTTATTGCATTTGAATAAAGCCATTACATATATACAATAACGGAACACTTATGAACTACAAACGGTGGTCATATCGCTTTAAGCGATTTATACCTGACAAACCGTACATTAAAGTACATTTTAATTTTATATTTTGACGGATAGATGCAATGTGCAATATGAAATAAACTGAAAAAAAAAATAGAAACAAAATATTAATAATATAAACAATATTTTATGATTATAAAAATATAGAGTTTTTTTTTTCGTTATCAGTGCATAATACACCATCATTTGTCATTAACCTCTACAGTTGTAGGGAGGATTAGTTTGTATCGTTAAACTTGGCAGTGCTACCAAACAGACGTTACCTCTGCTACATACCAGATGTTTCTCACGTCTGACATCATCGGTCTGGATACTTTCTGCCTAGCACAAACGAGAAAGGCGAGTGAAGATATAACAATATTTATTGGTGGAGTCTAAGGTGTACAACGCCATGAAGTTGTAGTTAAAACATTCTGTTTTTAATTGTGATTTTTTTGTCCGAACTACGCCGAATGAGCTTTTAGTCTTGTATTGATATGTTTGGGATTGGATTTAGTTTTAATTAAGTATTATAAGTTAAGTTTAAGTATTACGCAAAAAGTTCGAGACAACTGCAATTATCAAACCATCTGCAAAGCGTTGCGATTAGATTATCATCATTATTATCATCATTACAAACCTTCACAAGTCCACTGCGGAACATAGGCCTCCCCCAAGTAATGCTACAAAGCACGGTCCTGAGCCACCTGCATCCATCAACTTCCTGCATATTTTACAAGGTCGTCACTCCATCTAGTGGGGTGTCGCCCTACACTTCGCCTACAGGTACGAGGCTGCCACTCGAGAACCTTTCTTCCCCAACGGTTGTCGGTTCTTAGAGTTATATGGCCGGCCCATTGCCACTTCAGCTTACTAATCCGTTGGGCTATATCAATCACTCCAGTTTTACTGCGGATGTCCTCATTTCTGAGTCTATCACGCATAATTAGATTAGATTTGAATCTATTGAGTTTAAAGAAATTTTATTTTCAAAAAAGGCAAACACCACTTACATGAAAATAATAATTACATTTTAGTATACTTATTCTAAAGGTCGCCGAACATTCAGTCAGTAACTTCATAGCCTCAATTTAATGGTGAAAAATGTTCAATTACGTATTGTGATAACTGAGACTTAAAACTACTAAATGAGCTTACATTTATTATATTACAAGGCAATTTATTATAGATCTGTGCTCCTTCAAAGGTAACGCTTTTTTTTTGCGTAGTTTGTTCGTACCTTTGGTAGTACAAGTAAGCTAGGTCGTCGAAGACTGCGTTTACAAATTTGTGATTTTTTACAAAAGAAAAGTTAGTAGGGATGGTTTTATCTAGTATTTTCCTAATTATAATGCAACAACTACATAATATAAGTATTATATAAATGTAGTTGTTGAACGTTCATAAGTTTTTTTTTCTTTGAAAATTTTAGAAGTTGCTGTTAAATAGGGATAGTGAAAAAGTATTTTTATGATTTTATTTTGTATTCTTTGAAGTTCATATATCTTAGTTTTAGCAGCATAACCCCAAATTTCTATAACATAAAGTAAATGCGATTTAACTAATGAGCTACTTATAAATAGTGTAACGCATTTTTTTTAGGTAGACAATGGGAAATATTGTGAAGTGATCCAGTATGTGCCGAAAGTTTACTTTTAATGTGATCTATTTGCCTATTACATGTTAAGTAATTATCTATTCTCAAGTCTAGGTATTTTTCGCAGGTTTTTTGTTCTAAGCGGATGTTATCAATTGTCAGTGGGTCATGGTATAGTTTTGTTTTTTGCTTTAAAAATTATGTAACATGAGAAGTGTTTACCGTTAGCAAGTTATATGGGAACGCCTCAGACAATTGTTCTAGATCTTCTTGCGCTTGCAATATGATATCATGTATTTTAGATACGAAATAAAATAGACATGTATCGTCCATAAAAGTTAGATACCATGTAACCCTACTCTCATTTGGTTAATATAGACACCAAAACCGCGCATTATCCAGCTTCACTACTTGCGATCTATTTGACAGGTATGTTTTAAATATTTTAAGAGCACTACCTTTGATTCCGATGCTTTCAAGTTTTTCTGATAGCAATTTGTGACTTATAGTACCAAAGACTTTTTTAAATCGATAAATACACCTAAAGCCACTTGCCGTTTATCTATACTATCTTTTATTTTCGTTGTTAGATCGATTGTTGCGGTAATGGTGCTACTTTTGGCTCAAAATCCATATTGCCGCTCTGATATAAAATTAGAAGTATTTAAGTAATTTTCTAAACGATTATGTATGACTTTTTCTAAAATTTTTGACATGACCGGCAATACCGATATCGGACGATAGTTTCCTGGGTCGGTTTTAAGTCCCAATTTATAGATTGGTGTTATCTTTGCAATATTGTTAGTATCTGGAAACTATCCATCGATCATAAGTTTATTGAAACATTGAGCTAAGTCATGTGCTATCAAATTTTGTAGGCACTTTATTACTTTTGTGCTAATTCTGTCTATGCCACTACTGGAATTCGAATCGAGGCTTTGTATAATTTTACGAATTTCACTAGCAGTATATGGGGCTAGTGTAGAAAGTTCATTACTATTAGCTGTTTGTGTTTTAGAGAAAGGATAAGTGGAGCTACTACGAGTATGATATTTCTTAGGTATTTTATCTGCTAATTGTGGTCTAATAGTTGAAAAATATTCGTTAAAAATCTCACAAATCTCGACTGTGTTATTGATTACCTTAGAATCTACAATAAGTTTTGGAAAAGCACAACTTTGTGTTATTTTGTTACTTACTAGATTGTTTATAACTTGCCACATTTTTTGGGTTATTAGTATAATTTTGAAATAGTTTATAATAGTAGGAATTTTTCGTATATTGGATCTGCTTAGCCACTGCATCTCTCTTCAACTTAAACTCTTTTTCTAATGCATTTTCTCGATTATTTTTGTATTGCATCCACAAATAGTTTCTTTGACTAATTGCCAGTAAGTATATTGTTATTAATCCAGTCTTCTTATGGTGGATTTAATATTTTGGTTTTTATTACTTTATTGTCTTCAACGTATTGTTTTAGTTTAGTTTCCAATTTACTGTAATTTAAGTCTTCTTCAAATCCGTGTGATTCTATCGAGTTATATAGTTTCTTATAGTTGATTGCTTCGTAGCGTTTACGTATTTTTTTTGGTGGTTTAAATCTGTTTAATTATTGTAGATAAATTTGTTTATGGTCTGTCATAGGTGAGTTGATCATAACAATATTGAAATGGTCACCTTTTAGGTTAGTGCTAACATGGTCTATGATCGATTTTTTCGCGGTGGAGTCTCTTGTACAATAGGTTTGGTTTATTTTGTTGAGTAATCTATATCCTGATTCTTTGACTATTTGCTTGTACTGTTTTAATTTATTGTTTTTTGTCAACAAGTCAATGTTGATAACTCCGAAAACTATTGCTCTCCTGTGATGCTGTAATTGTTTGTCGTATACTTCCAAAAATTTTTGAAAATTGGTATGTCCAGGATAATAAACCACGCCAACATCTAGTGCAAATTTTTGAATTTTCTATTCATACATAGTTATTTCCGTCTTGGTAAGTCGATTCAATAAGGTTATGTTTTAAGCTGTTCTGTATGTATGCTGATACTCCACCTCCTCTTATATCTGTCCTGTAGTTGGAATAAAGTGTGTAGTTAGTGATTTGTAGTTGTAAAGTTTGATTTTCAGTCTGTATCCAAGTTTCTGTGAGCAAAATAATATGTACAGTTGTTGATATTGATTTTATAATGCATTTAAGTTCATCTAGTTTTCCTTTCTTCCGAATACTACAAGCATTTAAGTAGAGAAATGATAAACTCTTTTAGTCTGGATAAGTTGGTAGTCGTTAACTATGTATCGGGTGAGGTGTTATTTATTATTGGTGATTGGAGTTTTTTGTAACCGATTTTATAATACTTGGTTTGCCGTGTAGTGGCGGTTAAGAATATCCACTACCCCATATCTTCCCGTGGGTGTCGTAAGAGGCGACAGAGGGAGACAGGCAGGAGATGGGCAGCAGCGTCTTCCTGATGACAACTGTGACGTAATAAAAAACTGCGGTTGCCAACCCGCTCACCAAGCGTGGCAACTATGGCAAATACCCCCCAATGAATAAATACACAAACAGACGGCCCCCAGTCCCCGGCGGCCCCGCTATTCCTGGCTACGGTGGCAACCATGGTAACGGCGGGGCAGGGGGTGCTAAGAATCTCCGGTGGAGGTTCGGTTGCCACCTACGACGACTCGACCTGGCAACATATAACGCACGCACCCTGAGGACTGACGAGAAGATACTGGAGCTGGAAGAAGAGGTAGACAAGTTGCGCTGGCATATTATTGGATTATCCGAGGTCCGAAGAGAGGGGGAGGACACGGCAATCCTCGAGTCCGGCAACTTGTTCTATCACCGGGAGGGCGACCATCTGTCCCAAGGAGGTGTCGGATTTATCGTCCACAAATCTCTCGTCAACAACGTTGTAAAGATTGGGAGTGTGTCGACGAGGGTCGCGTACCTGATACTCAGAATCACCAAACGGTATTCGCTGAAGGTCATTCAGGTTTACGCACCAACCTCGGCACATCCCGATGAGGAGGTGGAGGAAATGTATGAGGATATTTCCAGAGCCATACATTCCTCCAAAACCTACTACACGGTGTTGATGGGAGACTTCAACGCAAAACTGGGCACAAGAGAAAGCGGTGAGCTGAAGGTAGGGAAATTTGGAGTAGGGCAACGGAACCGAAGGGGCCAGCAGCTGGCCGACTTTATGGAGAAAGAGGGACTCTTTATGATGAACTCTTTCTTCCAGAAGCGGCCCCACAGGAAGTGGACCTGGTCGAGCCCCGACGGTTCGACAAAAAATGAGATTGACTTCATTATGACGACCAGACGCCAACTGTTCAGTGATGTCTCAGTGATCGCAAGGGTGAAAACTGGCAGCGATCACCGAATGGTTAGAGGCACACTGAACCTAAACGTTAAGTTGGAGAGGTCTCGTCTAATGAAGTCAACGCTCCGTCCCCCTCGTGCTCTAATCCAGAATCCCGAAACCTTTCAGCTCGAGTTACGTAACCGCTTCCAGTGCCTAGAAGATTGCAATGCAGTGGACGATATGAACGACAAGCTCGTGGAAACTGTCCATGCGGTCGGAGCTAAGTTCTGCAAGACCCGCCGCAGAAGAACACAAAAACTCTCCGATCACACTCTTAATCTCATGGCTGTTAGACGGGAGATGAGGCTGCAATCGTCAACAGATTTGACAGCATACAGGCAACTGAACAGACAGATCTCCAAATGCATACGGCGAGACTTACGCAACTTTAATACTTCTCGTATTAAAGAAGCGATCGAGCGGAACCAGGGCTCCAAAGTCTTTGCCAGAGATCTGTCTGCCAGAAAGAGCCAACTGTCAAGGCTGAAGACTGAGTGTGGCAACATCGTTTCCGGGACACCTGAGATTTTGAGTGAGATTGAGAGGTTCTATGGGCAGCTGTACACATCATCGTTGGAGCCACACGCAAGTGTGAGTAACGATCCAAGAGCAAGTCTTATCCGACACTATTCCGATGATATCCCAGACGTCAGTCTAAGCGAGATTAGAATGGCTCTCCAGCACCTTAAAAACGGCAGGGCCCCAGGCGAGGATGGAATTACAGCGGAGCTTCTGAAAGCGGGTGGAACACCGGTACTTGAAGTCCTTCAGAAGCTCTTCAATTCCGTCCTCCATGGTGGCACTACTCCAGAGGCGTGGAGCAGAAGTGCGGTGGTCTTGTTCTTTAAGAAAGGCGACAACGCTCTCTTAAAGAACTACAGACCGATTTCCCTTCTGAGCCGCGTCTACGTGCTGTTTTCGAGAGTCATTACGAATCGTCTCGCACGCAGACTTGACGACTTCCAGCCTCCCGAACAAGCCGGTTTCCGAAAAGGCTTCAGTACCATAGACCACATACATACCCTGCGGCAGATTGTACAGAAGACTGAAGAGTACAATCTGCCACTTTGCCTGGCGTATGTGGACTATGAGAAAGCCTTTGATTCCGTCGAAATTTGGGCGGTGCTACAGTCCCTTCAGCGGTGCCAAGTTGACTGTCGGTATATCGAAGTGCTGAAGTGTTTGTACAGTAGGGCTACGATGGCTATCCGAGTACAGAACCAGAGCTCGAAACCTATTCAACTGCAGAGAGGTGTAAGACAGGGTGATGTTATATCCCCGAAACTCTTCACCGCTGCGTTGGAAGACGTTTTCAATCTACTGGACTGGAGAGGATGCGGTATTGACATCAATGGCGAGTACATCACTCACCTTCGATTTGCCGACGATATAGTCCTTATGGCAGAATCGCTGGAGGACTTAAGCACTATGCTCAATGACCTCAATAGTGCCTCCCAACGGATAGGTCTTAAGATGAACATGGACAAAACAAAGATCATGTTCAATGTCCATGTCACACCTATGCCGGTAGTTGTTGGGAGCACTATGCTCGAAGTTGTTGACGAATACGTTTACCTGGGACAAATAGTCCGACTAGGTAAGTCCAACTTCGACCGAGAGGTCAATCGACGGATTCAACTCGGCTGGGCAGCGTTCGGGAAATTACGGCATATCTTTTCGTCAGGTATACCTCAATCTCTAAAAACTAGATTGTACAACCAGTGCGTGTTGCCAGTGATGACTTACGGATCTGAGACGTGGTCCTTCACTGCTGGCCATATGAGGACGCTTAAGGTCGCTCAGCGAGCTATGGAGAGGGCTATGCTCGGAGTTTCTCTGCGTGATAGACTCAGAAATGAGGATATCCGCAGTAAAACCAGAGTGACCGACATAGCCCAACGGATTAGTAAGCTGAAGTGGCAATGGGCCGGCCATATAGCTCGAAGAACCGATAACCGATGGGGAAGAAAGGTTCTCGAGTGGCAGCCTCGTACCGGTAGGCGTAGTGTAGGGCGACCCCCCACTAGATGGAGTGACGACCTGGTAAGACATGCAGGAAGTCGATGGATGCAGGTGGCTCAGGACCGTGCTTTGTGGCATTACTTGGGGGAGGCCTATGTTCAGCAGTGGACTTGTGAAGGGCTGTAATGATGATGATGATGATGATGGTATGCCGTTGACGTATTTCATTATGAGATCACTGTCTCCATTTTTTGTACGTCGTGAAAGTTCTTCTTTTATCATGAAGTATTTTTGTAGAGCCGGTGTTTGGTCCGAAATTTTTTTTACATTATCAGGCAATTTCTCTTTGTTTCGGAGGAGTACCTTGGCTGTCTCTGGTTTGTCAAAGCAGACTTTAACCCTTCGTTGTTTTCCTGGATTATACTTGCCAATGCGGAAAATCTTATTTGGTTTCGGAATATTTTTTCTATTATTGAAGTAATGTTTAAAACCTCAACCTCGTCTTTGAGGATCCGCTCTTCGATGCTGGTGAAATTTTGTTCTGGTATGCCAACTATAATTATATTATTTTCTCTCTTTTTGCGCTCTTGGAATTCGCGAATTATTTGTTCATTTACAAACAGCTGATTAGTTTGAGTGGCTGGCGAGCTTAAACATAATTGTTTAAAGTCGTTTTCAAGTAACTTTATTTTATTTTTACACTTTTGACTGCAACTGCGATAACTGAGTTTTTATATGACTATTTTCTATGGAAATTTGTGACGTGGCGGTCTTAATGTCTTGGATTTGCATACTAATTTCTGCTACATTAGAGCTAATCAAGTTTCTAGTATGTTTATGCGAGGCCCGTAGATCGGTAATTTCACTCTTAACTTCAACAATACTCTGGTTCATTTGACTCATTATTTGTGTATTTGACCCAATATAATTTTCTAATAAGGAAGTTATTCGTGATAACTCATTTCGCACCAACTTAATCTCATCCGAACATTGGCATTCACGATCAGCCGGTTGTTTACGTTTTCTAAAAGTAATTTGTGTATCGGAAATATTATCTACCGGAATTTTTGACAAGTCAGGTTGCGAGCCGCCGGCGGTAGTAGGTGGAGATCGCATTATATTCATTGTTGCAGTTGCAAAGAAATATATAATTTAGTTTACAATGATGCAAACAAACTTCAAGAATTGTTTGTTTACGTAAGATAATAAATACACAACTCACGCGCAGTACTGTATGCTTAGACACCGGGTCAGTGTGCGAGCGAGTCAAAAAATAGCCACTGTACTGGTCCCGCGGAGGTGAAGTACGTCGCCCCGCTCGCTGGTGCAGCTATCGATGCTTTGATACAGTATATATCTTTATTAAAAGGGTTTTTGTCATAAATCACCTTTCACAGAATTTAAGGTTGATTACGTTTGAATATAAGAAATAGATTTGAGGAGCACTATTTAGATGTTTTTCGCCAGAATTAACACACGTCTACTCAGTACAGTAGTTCGACGACGATACCTATTATTACCCTGATTAACAGGATAGCGTTAAAAATCAAAATCCAGTAGTAAATTTTTATGAGCCCTTCCTGCTCATAATTATTTTATACCTCACTATCATGAAGAGTAATAAAGTCCTGTTCAAATATAAAGGAAGGTCATAAGAATTGACGTTTAATAATTTCTCTTAAATTTATACCAACATAGAAAGAATATACTGTTTAATTTGTGACTAATTCGGTAAAGAACTCTATAGGTAATAATGCTGTGATACATTCAGTCAGTCAAAATATTGTTGCACAATACGAAAATCCAAAATGATAAATCTGGAATTGTGATCATATTCACTGTAGCTCAAGATTTACGAATTTTCATTTTAATAAATCGATCAATTTTTTTTTCAAAATTGTGGGAATTTTCCATAATTGCACTCTATGAAAGTGTTCATTAATAAAACGATACACCTGTTAATTTCATTTCAATTGTAGCCCTCAATAGCACGTACAATAAAATGTTATCGTGTAAATCAAATACAACGTCATATTTATTGTTTTGTGTTTTAAAATATTTAACTTTATTTTTATTTTCTTAATTTGATACTTTAATAAAGCGTATGTAAAAGAGTAGATTAGAGTGACAAATTATTCTGGGATTTACTTCTTATGTACTAGTTACCAAACATGTCCAGTCTATCTTCCCTCCTCTTCAATATTCAAGTTTAATTGGTTCGTGTAAGTTAATGATTTCTTATTTTTAAACAAATACTTGAAATCAAATAAAAATAATTTTACGGGCTATATCACGTTTAATTTATCTTACTTTTGGCACCCGATGTTTTAGATGCTTTGCCACACGGGGGGGGGGGGGTTGGCACCGAGGTGTTAGATGCCCCAAAGTTATTGTTAGCCCGGCTACTAGCTGGAGCTTATCTTATAATATGCGCTGTTAAATTCGGAGGCACAGTGTTCTGACACACAAATATTGTATTGCTTAATATCCTCCGAAGAATATTTAATAATCAAATTTTTCTTGTAGATGGGAATGAATTAGTAGTTATCACGATAACTTATACTATGTCATCAAAGATTTTTACAAAGCATAGTTCTGAGGCACCTGCAACCGTCAATTTCGCTCTATAGAGACTCGAAGTTCTCATCTCGACTATATTTTTTTGTATGTGTTACGCGATATCTTCGACAAGTATAACAACTTGTAAAAGTTACAGTTACAGCCTATACACGTCCCACTGCTGGGCACAGGTCATTCATTTCTAAGAGGGTTTTAGGGCAAGGAAGTATACGCCGCACTGTCCCAATGCGTGTTGGCGAACTTCACGTCCTCGAAATATTTTTTTTCTTATTACTCCTGTATGTCTACAGGTTTCCTCGCGATGTATACTTTCACTGCCGAGCACGTGGTAATCAACTTGAAATTATAATTAACAATTTTATTGATGCCGGCGGGGATCGAACCCGGGTTGCTCGTTTACTGTAAAATTGACTGCGACTGTTAACTATCTGAGATCTTAACAGTGTAACTTAACAATATTTATGATTAATTATTATTGGAAAGTTTATACCTTAAGTGGTTCCATTTAATTTCGAAGAAAAAAAATCACTGGAAAAAATAGGGCACAAAGTATATAGTGTTTAGAAGACATTAAAAAAGAAAACCGGGTAAAAGAGGTGTAGGTAGAAGGAAAATGTAGTGGCTATGTAACATCCCGAAATGGACGGCGATAAAGAAAGTAGAAGATCTGTTCAGGCTAGCCCTGAACAAAAGAATTTAAAAGGATGACTGCTGACCTTCAGTAATGGAGAGGCACTTAAAGAAGAAGAAGAAGACATTACAACTATTAATTTGAACATATTATTCATGATCATGGTTATAATATTTAATAAAAAGTAAAACCGTCTTTTGAGAATAAAAAAATATATACATAATATGGATTGCATATGAGTCAGGGGCTTTAATTCTTGAATACACTATGTATTAGCACTGACATCACATGATATTATCTGTAAATAATAGACTTAGAAATTGCTGGCGTAAGTATGTTCTAAGTATATGGTGTAAATTATTTCGTCGTAATGATATGACGTACTACCGTTTGTCCAAAGTGAAAAAAGCGGTTAAAAAAGGACGCTTAAGTTTTTCCAATCGAATGATTATTTCTGAAATAGCTGCTAATTGTTTCACCAATCATAAGCCAAATAAAATTTTTAAAAGTGTATATCAATAAAATTTTAATATGCTCTTGTGACGTAGTTGTGTACTACGACGATACGATGTTGTACGATGGATGTTTTTTTTAAACTTATCTATATCATTAAAATTCAAAGTGTTATGCTTTCTTTCAATTACTAAGCTATAATTTAACTACTCCATATAAACAGTTTATTAATTTAATGAAGCTTTTAAATGTATTATTTCAATTTATTATGTGCGAGCAGCTAGAGAGAGAGAGAGAGAGAGAGAGAGAGAGAGAGAACAGTATCACTGCGACCTAAAAGATCTATTGTGATCGCTGCTATCGCTATAGTTCACAGCAACGCCCTACGTCTTCAGTGAATAAAAGGAGTAGCTTAGCTGTGAGCAATTTTACTTCATCTGGGCGGAGGAAATAGATTTCCAGATGTGTTCGTTTGCACATTGAGGGTCCGCAAGCAGTTCAGATGTGCATAGGCGTTTCTTCCGTTAAAGAATAGAACCAGAACATCCTTGTGTTGCTTAGTCTTAGCATGGACATGTGTTTTTTAAGACAACAGTGTTCAGGAAGTGGTAAATTGCGTATTCTGACAAGAGCCCTGTCTTATCAGAAAGCGCAATTTATTTTTACTTAATCCTCCCGAAGCGAATTTACGAAAAGCCTGGATTACGATTTTATGAATTTTTTAAGCCTGGTGTGTCAGACAAGATCTTAAGTGATTTATTGTGATAAAGAGTTTCAAGGGTCAATTGGGCTAGATTTTTTGAGATTACACAAAACGTTTCGGGTCCAAGTTGTGTACTCTTTGAGCCCTCCCATGCAAGCTTATCGGCAAGTACATTACCTACAATACATGCGTAACCCGTAACGCATCTTAAAATTGCCCTGTTGTTAGATCCCAGGGCGTTTAGGCGGTTCACGAAGCCTTCAAATAGCTTCGAGTTTACCAAGTTTGACTTCAGCGCTAGCAGTGCTGCTAGACTGTCAGAGTTTATATAGATTAAATGGTTGACTTAGTGTTGTTGCAGATTGATTTCTGCAATGAGGTGAATCTACCAAATTCATACTATGTTTGAATTTGAGGCCAAAGACTACGTCGAGGCCTAGTTTTGACTCATCGATATACCACATGAGGCTACCAACCTCACAGATGACTTCGCCATTCAGACAGTCTCCTATAGAGAGTAGTTCTACTGTATCTATCTATCCTGTGGCGCTACAGCCCTTTGTGGGCCTTGGCCTCCCCCACAATATTCCTCCACTTGTCACGATTCTTCGACTCCCTGCGCCAGTTGGTGTATTTACCCATTCTTCTCAGATCCTCTTCCACATTTTCTACCCAACGTTTTTTTGGCCTGCATTTTGGTCTCTTTTGCTGGGGAGTCCACCTGGTCATGATTTTCACGGCCCTAAAATCCGGCATTCGTTCCAGGTGGCCCGCCCATCTCAGCCATGTGGCTTACAGAACCTGACGATGGTCTCACGTCCTATAAGAGCATCAAGCTCGTGATTCATGCACTGGCGATACGTGTCATCAGATTCTCGGACTGGTCCAAATATATTTCTGAGCACTTTCCTTTCAAATACCGCCAGTCTCACTTCGTCCCTCTGTGTAAGTGTCCAGGTTTCGCATGCGTAAGTCACAACAGGTCTTATGATCGTCCGGTAGATGGTGAGTTTGGATTTTCTGCTCAGTATTTTGGAGTTAAGTAGCTTTTTACATGAATAAAAGCATTTATTACCCGCGACTATTCTTGTTCTGTTTTGGGAAGTTAACGTAGACCCTAGGTATTTAAAAGTTTTAACCCCTTCGAAAATGTTTCTCATCATAGAGATGTTTTGCAGCGGCTCGTGCTTCCGAGTCCTAGCGAGATATTTTGTTTTCTCGGTGTTGATCTTGAGGCCGAAACATTCCGCTTCTTTACTGAGGTTGAGGCAGTGATCCACCATTCTGTTTTTAGATCTACTGGATATTACAATGTCGTCTGCATAAGCAGCGATCTGCGATGTATTATAGTCTATAAGTCCCGTTATATTAACTTTCCGAATGATTGATTCCAGCACCAAATTGAATATAAGAGTTGACAATGCATCTCCTTGTTTAACTCTAGTGGATATACTAAAAGGTTCTGAAAACTCATTTTGAATTGCAACTACGAACTGTGAATGCTCTAAAGTCGCCTTGACAAGTCGTACTAGTTTACTAGGTATACCGAAGAGCAACATGTTACTATACATCTGATTGCGATTTACGCTATCGAAAACTTGCTTGAAATCAACAAATATGTGATGCAAATTAATATTATATGCATAACCTTTCTGTAGTACTGGGATATGGTCGGTAGTGGATCGGTTTGTTTTAAAGCCATATTGGTATTCCCCGAGTATCTCCTAAGCATATGCACTCAAGCGCTTATACAGTACC